GCCTTAGAATCTGCTCCAAGGTAGTCGTAACCGTACGCCGTATCAGCACGTTCGCCGATGAGGCCGACCTCAAGACTTGTGTGCAGCCAGCTCTTGCGAATGCGAGAGTTAAGGACAGCAGCCTCGTGGCGTGGGTTAGTGCCAACAAGTAGAATGGCATCGGCTTCCTCAACACCAGGGATGGTAGAGTTGAAGAGATAATTGGAGCGAACGTCAACACCATGCGGGGGTGGTGCGCTGCCATTGGTCTGGTCGAGTGCAAGGTTGTCTGATCCTAGGCGGTTGATCAAGTCTTTGAGGGCGACAAGGGACTCGGTATCAGCAAAGTGTCCAGCAATGGCTTGAATCTCATTGCCAGTGGCCCCTGAGGAGGCTATACCATCTGCAATTCTCTGTAGAGCTTCCTCCCACGAAGCTGCAACGAAACGGTCGCCCTGCTTGATAGAGGCGTCGTCAAGCGCTGGAATTTCAAGCCGTCGTAAGCATAACGCGTCTTATCACTGATCCACTCCTCGTTGACTTCGTCGTTGGTTCGAGGCTGGATTCGCATCACCTGGACACCGCGAGAGTCGACGCGAATATTCGAACCAACGGCATCCATGACATCGATGGATTCGGTATTTTTTAGCTCCCATGGTCTGGACGTGGAAGGCGTATGGTTTACTTGTTAGAGCACCGACGGGACAAAGATCGACGATATTGCCAGAAAGTTCGGAGTCCATGGTCTTCTCAACATACATGCCGATTTGAAGGTCATTACCGCGACCCGTCGTACCAAGCTCCTCGACACCAGCAACCTCATTAGCAAACCGGACACACCGAGTGCATTGAATGCAACGGTTCATGGAAGTCTTAACAAGAGGTCCAAGATCTTTGTTCTCCACTGCACGTTTGCCCGTGATTTCGTGGAAACGCGTGCGGTCAGAGCCGTATCGCATGGACTGGTCCTGAAGGTCACATTCACCACCCTGGTCACAAATAGGGCAGTCGAGTGGGTGGTTGGCTAGAAGAAATTCCATGACGCCCTCACTGCGCACCTTGTGAGCAGATGCAGTGGAATGCAGACACCCTCAATATTGTCTTACCGAGCTTCATGAACCAGCGGGGTATTTGTGAACACCTTGGAACCAGGCATGGCTGGCATAGCACTGAATATCATTGATCAGCACGTGAACTTATGAAAAATGAGTATGATATCATACCATGATGCTACTGGCTTTGGGGAACGCTCGACCTCAACCAGACACATACTAGAGCAAGCATCAACATTCCGCCTCTCTTTCGCCGTCACACTTTCCACTCACCGACAGTTACCAGCAATCGCGAGTCTAAAGGGTGGTTTCAGCCTTCTACATTCTGTCAAGAAAGAAAGTGCATTCTGACGAACCTGTCATGGTAGCAAAACCTGAAGAGGGAATTAGTGAGCAACTACTGGAATGATGCAGATAGATAGAAAAGACATACCGAGGAATCGTAGCACCAGCAGCCTCACAAGCTTGAATCAACGCGGACCCTGCGCGATAATAAGCTATGTAAAACGCGAAACGCGAACAATAGATATGTACCTTGCGGAACCGTTACCTCCTTCCCGTCAACAGTGAGAGTGATATCAGCTTGACGTGCGGATGTGGACTGCTATAGACCTGCGGCCTACAAGATATGAACACCTAAGACGATATAGAGGTCAAGGCAGGCGTACCATGTGAAGCACCAGAGCAAACGACTTTCCCGAGTCGCCCCGTTGAGGAGGGTCGCGAAACCAAGCGTAGCATTAAGATATTATTTGGAGGACCAAGAAATATGCAGAGAAAATCGAATAAGTGCAGGTCGCTCGCACGGACGAGCGCTGCCGGTTAAAAAAGCGGGGATTAACGGTGCTCGTCGTGATACACAGCGACCAACGAAATCGCGAGTATTACACGATTCGGGCGGAGTTCAAACATGTCACGGTGCCGAAGATGTTCCGGCAGAAATATTTGTAGCCATGTTTATCAGATATGTCATTACTTACAAGCAGCAAATAGTAAAAGTACAAATACTAGTAAGTGTCCGGAGTGAGTTCCATCGCAGCCGTTCCAGCAGCCAATTATTAGATGATTAGCAAATTACGTCCTTCGCACCCTCCAACAAGTCTCAAGGAACATAAATAACGAGGAGAACATTCACAATCAGCTTCTCCAATTCTCCATTGGATACAAAGTATACCCTCTCCTTCGCAAGCGGACCGGGAACCCAATCAGAAAGGATGAAGATTTCCGCTTGAGAAAGAGGGATTGCACCGCTCTCCTCAACCCTCATCCTCAGGTTGTGAGCTTCGATTTTCATTATCTCTACGTCATCTTCTTCCGGACCACCGTAGTAGCTCATCGGACCACGGACGGATTTTGCTGAACGAGCAGGTGATCCAAAAGCGCTAGGAAAGCCCATCGATGATAAGCTTGTTGGCGAATCCAGAACATCGTTTCCGCATTCTACGGTCCGATCGATGGGCCAGACATATCCCCCCGCTGCCCAATGCAGCTCCGGCGCAAGCTTGTACACCTTCAGGGCATGGTATAAAAGTGAATCGCTGCCCTTAAGCTGATCACCTTACGTCAATAACATCCTGCCCGCAGTCAGCTGAAACTCACATGAGGAACCAAAGATTCGGCTAGGCCCTCCGAAGGATTGACACCGTAATCATGGGTCAAGTAGAATGCTACTTTGCGTCCGCGAGACAGGCTGAGGACTGGGGAAAGAAGATCAAGGAAGTATTCACTCGGTGTGATCAGAGGATCGACTGCTGCGCCGTATGTCTTCAGATGCACCGCATACGTGAAGGTCATCCTGCATCCTTGCTGGATGGTTTCGACTTCGTATTCGCATTCCCCAAGGAATGCAGTCCAGTGGACCTCCGAGGGTTTGCCTCCACCTCCGAAGAACTTCTCTTCTGTCCCTTCTGCATCTCGGACAATCATGTTTCCACCACGATGGTGAACAGGTAGAGTGACACATATTGTAGCAACTCTACCATCGTTGCGTAATGTACGGGGTTGGGGCGCCATACGCGCTCCAGTTACCATCACCTCCAGTTTATCTCTCAGGGCGGTGAGGTAATGTCCCATGGGTAATGCCGGGAACAGTGCATTGCGCACTGCATCGAGGATGGGATGGTTGGCGATTTCGAGAGTAGCGGTCAAAGGAAGATTCGATGGGTAGAAAAGGGTTTCACGGTCAGGGTATACATCAAATCCAGGTGTCGGGTGGGGTTTACATGCTGCGAGTAGCACTTCGAGAGCCGGGGGTGTGTCGTAATCAATGTTTATGGGGAAATCAAGCGAGTGGGTGATGCCACTCTGTAAATCGGACTCAGATTCAGATAACGACTATTAATCAGTGCCCACAAACCGCTCACCTTTGAGCGAAAGAATAGCACCAAGGACGCCGGGTCCATTGGGATGTGACCGGTGACAGTGAACGGACGCGCTTTGGCGGTGAGTAAACGTGATACGCTCGCACGAAGTGCAGTTTCAGCGCCATATTCAGACTGACGACGACGAACGCCTGGTCGTTTTGGAGATGATGTATTCATTTTGAGTGGTCGCTCGATTTCGAATTCTGATACGCTTCCGTTCCGCGCGAATTGACGACTGCCATCTGAACGGCTGCTATCTGAGAGGCGACTCGCAGCTGATGGTGTTGGAGAGCCTAGTGCTGATCGTGGATGCATCGCAATAGTCAAGATGTCGCTAATGGTTAAGGAAAAGAGTGAGGATCTGTGGAACTGGACGGGACTCTATTTACCAGCCGGGAACAGTGAGTGGCCAAAAAGAGCCACATCTAGCGTGCCGAGATCCAGTGGACAACGATGACATCGAGCCAATCACGCGCCCACAACGTGTTTGATTCATCATAGACAAGATGGGGTTGAAGGTACAGCAAGACATCTTTGGTAAAATTTGGCCAACCCGCTAGTATTTCCAAGCCGGAGTTTCGTATTCGAACGGACGTTCCTGATCTCATCTTGGAAGATAGCGGTCCTGACAATGGAATAGAGTTCAAAAACTTCACGTCTGATTTGAAACCGCCTGCGAGACTGAGTACAACGCGGCGTCAGCATGGCAATGTCTGTAGTGAAAGGTAACAAGATTTTATACGTACAAGCGTCTTTTGTCTCTGTAAAAGCAACAAGCACAAAACACTGTCATTTCGGTTGATTAACTCTGAATCCTGTGATCAGAATAGAAGTCAATAACCAACTGACACGTGCATGCTTGACATACCATCCTTTGTACAAAACGGACCTACAGCAAACTACCCAGTCCCGGTCATCCGCGATTGTTTGAATCAAACATTTCATTTCAGCGCTTCTTATTTATGAAGTGCACGTGACTCGGGCGGGGACGCCGAAGGGACACCAGTCTTTGGGTTTGCCCAACAAAAAACATATTGCTTCACGCTACCTACATACCAGAGGACTAGACACTAATATGTCTGCAGCTACACTCGAGCAATAAGCTCAGTCACAGCCAGCACCTTGAACAAACCTAGTAAGATGTGAACACGAGGCCCATCAACTTGATCCTCAACAAGGTGTCCATAGCGCACCTGTGTGTACTGCACGTCCGGCACATCAAAGCACTGACCGCAGATCGTTTCAAGGAATGTGGTTAGGTGAAGCTATGCAAGGCCGCCTTCTACATCTTCGCACACCGCCATCAAATAGTCACCCTCGGTTCGGACGCCTCTCGTGTTGGACAGAAGGCGGCAACGTGCCAAATCCCGATAAGTAATATGGCGGTGAACGCAGCCATAAGGAACCCTGGCATGCCCAACACAGACACCAAGTTCCAGTCGCCTGGTCTGGCCATCGGGAAGAGAAGACGAATATGGATCAACGATCGAGGGGTCCAATGTAGCCAGCCTGCACCTGAATCGACCAAGTGAAACAACCAAGGACGGGTTCCTCGTCCTACTCAGCGACAGATTCAAGAATATATGGAGATATATGCCAAAATGAGCAATATGTGAGCCAGCCGACCGTCCCCAGAATACATTTGCTCGTCCTCAATGTAACCAACGGGGGTCGCCGTGACCAATCATACCATGTACGCACTCATCGTCAGACACCGAAAACTGATCGTAGACCGATGACTGGATTAGCAGGAGTAGATGGGGAATCACCGAGATCATCATGGGCGATTCAACCGGTGATCCTCAATTTAAAGAATACCTGGCCATCGTACCCACGAATTTTGTGTTAACCCAGATGACTCCGTTTGATTCCTTTGCTCCGCCTTATTGACCATGCCATGTCGTTTGTCAGGGTCGCCTTATCTATATATCTCACCTTCCTGCTTCCTACTACCAGGCAGCCTGATTTGGATGGAGAAGGTCCGCTATTTTTGCGCCCCAAGACAATGATACGGTTTGAGACTCGAATGGCGGTGGTACTAGGCGTTCGTGAAGCACTGACGGTCATGTGCGGTTCCACGAATAGCTTCTGCAGCGTATTTCAACTCGGTTTCAACCCGCGGGGTTCCTGCCAGCTGACACCGTGACTTGACCCTCAGGGGATGATTGATCGTGCTTATCAATACATATCAAGAGGTCTATATCATAGATCCGGCGTGAACGAACTGATGGTGGTCGTGATGCTGGCTGCGTCCGTAGTTGAAGGCGATTATCCGGGCCGTCAATGAACCTTTGGTTCTGTTTATTTCTAAAGCCTTTGCCAAACAATAAGTGTTCCGTACGCCACTTGGTGACCGTCAAGCGAGAAACAGGCACCACAAAGATCGTCTAAAAAACTGATTGCGGCACGCTGAAACGTGATAACACAAACTAACGGGGCTAACCAAGAACGCTCTGCAATGTCGGGTATTCCCGATGGCAAGTACTTATCAGTACTACCAATCTTACGTCACTCTTGATCGGGGACTTCTTCCCTTCTTCTACCTCTCAGAGGCCTCCTCTGGCGCACATCTGTTGGTAGAGGGCACCGTCTTTCGCACTGCCAGCTGTGTCCTCGTGTTTCTCTTGTGCTTCTCCAATCACCAATCATTCACATCGTACGATATCACTACAATAACAGCGGGCCGTCTAGTTCTGCTTTTCCGGCTTCATATGACTGCAATCCGTTATCGACGTCTTTCTACCACAATAATAATATTCCGTGCTGCGCGTGTATCTACAGTTAATGACCAAGAGTCCGACACACCGTATCTCCCTTACTACACCCTCCAGAGGCATCAATAAGTACAATGCTTCTCTCATACCCAAGACCCCACTACAGTCGATATGCACCGCAGAAGCCCAATCCAAATCCAAGTTCCGGTTTCTTCTGATATACGTGACAACGCACAAGTGGATAGGTTTGCGCCCGGAATCTGTTGTCGATGACTTTTTCTACAACGATTGTGCCGTGTTCTGTGAACGGCGATCAACAAGTCCAAGTTTGGCTCTCGTGCGCAAGCATACATTTAACAACCGCGAACCTAATACATTCCGCATCTCTTTTGCATCCTTCAAAGGTATAAGTTATATGAACAACTCTGATGGCTCAATGCTCCACGAAAGCTGATATGAGATTCAAATTAAGTGAGATGATCAAGACACCGTAGACTTTGCCGCAGCACGCAGTCTATCTCTACATCACAGCACAAAGTTCATCGTGTCACGATCATCGGCCCAGAGTCTCGCATACTCCAAACATAGTCTGTAGACGTACGCTATTACCAAACCAAGTCAAGTCAACCAATTTGCAAATACATGCCCGCAAAGCTAGAACGCACCTTCCATATCGACAGTCCTCCCTATCGTCTTCCTCCACTGTCGGCCCGCACGTGCGATGCGCTGTAAACGCTGGTCGCCATCTAGTGACTGTATTGGGTGCGTTGTAGTCAAATTTGCAGCGGCCAAAGTTGACGGCGAAGGTCCGGAGAAATACGCGTGGATGTTGTATACCTCGGCATAAGACGAGGATAAAGGTATATAGTGTAGCCTTGCTTGCTATTCAGCCTTGCATCCGAGTGCCAGTTATAAAACACACCATGGCTGTAACCAATCTGACATGTACTCCCGCCATACAGTACTCTTTATGACGGCACTTTCACTAGATAAAAGTGCCAAGAAACGTCCCGAGTAACCCATACCGTCAAGATCAAGGAGATATTTATACGCCCAGTGCTGGCCCAGAGGAACGGGTGATGCAAAGCGATGACCTTTTCTGAGTGCTTCCTCGCCGCCAGGATACCCGCCAGTTGTCGAAACAAATGCAACATCCATTACGTCGTCATTTAGCTGTCGTGCAGGCACCTCAGCGGTAATGAAGTCGTTAGTGCTTGAGGGGTCAGCATGGACAATAGTCCGATTTCTTGCTGCACTCTCGTGTGTCATGTGAAGAAACCTGTCATGAAAGATGAGAATCACGTGATAGGGTAGCAAGAACTGATTACCTGTGTCTCTGGTAATTCGACGCATAGCCCGGGGGTGTGCTACCACCACCAGTGTCTGCGCCCCGCCAGAAAACGACGCCTACCTTTTCTTCCCATGGAACCTCCAAATCATCAACGTCATGGGGTTCATCACCGTGAGCATTGAAACCGTAAGTGTACCTGGGATGTTGTGTAAAATAATAGTGGCTCGGAATCCTAATATCCAAGAACCCTGAGGCCTTTGCGGGAGATAAAACAGGGTAAAGTACAGGTATCGTGCGCCAGTCCGAGAAAAAGTGGCCTTGGGAAGAGTGAGCCCAAGGATATGAACAGTAATCGATGGAATCCTCCACGCTTGGCACAAAAGTGAATTCGTCTCCAGGAGCTGGAGCGGAGCCGAAGAAAACTTTTACATTTTCAGCATTGGGATTGCGGTATGAACTGTAGAGGCGACGGGCTTCGGCTTCAGGAGGACATGTTCGGCGATAAGCTGCCCAAACACTCCCTTGCCCCTTCCAATCAGAAGTGAAGTCAGATCCAACCATGGAGGTTATTCCACCTGAGGCGCAGTTAATGCATGATTCTAAATTCACCAATGACATATGTAACAGACCTGATGAATCTTGTAACGTCATGTTAGGAAATTGGCGGTGTTCCCAAGGTACCAAGATCCTGCCCTCCGCCTTCGAGTTGATGGCAAATTGCATGTCAGGGAGCTAGAGGCCTTGGTGAACAGAATGAATGGACAGAGAGAGCTGGGCAAACACACCTTATCTTGAAATTTCTCGAGTAAACTCATAAACCCCAATGCTCTATGTCCGCGCTCGCTACCCGACTTGTCAATGGAGGTGCCTTCGACCTTGCCATTGACGATGCGGACCAAATCAATAGACGGAAGTTCGGTAACCTGCAAAATAAACGTCATGGTACCGTAGTGGAGGGGAGATCACACTTACTTGGACTGTCCTCCTTCGAAACTCTACACCAGACATATTCCAGAACGGTGCCAGGTCTTCATCAATGGCGTCAAACTCGTCCACCAGTCTCACATTGTTTTCCTGCGCGAATTTCCACCAATCTCCAAAACCTCTGGGAGGCTCGCGCCCGTATCTTTTCCTATATTCAGTCACAGCGGCTGCAAGAGTTTTGCTTTGCCTCGAGAGCATATGCTTGAACTTCTCCTCCGCATCCGCCATCAATTTCGGTATGGGATGTTCGGTGAGAGTGTATGGTTTCCCATCCTTCACAAAAGGGAGCCACTTGGAGGAAGTCGAGAACCAGTTTGCTCGTGAACTCAAGTCTCGTCCAGAAGTTTGATCGTTGTGACCGGCGAAAAGGCCGGCTTGCATAAAAAAGAGGAAGACACAGACGAGGAATATCCAGCCGCGCCATCTTGTTGGCTGTGCATCACCTTTATTGATGGACCGCATTGTTGAGGTGAGTATGAGACCCTGCACTATGGAGCGCGGAGATTACGTTCAAGGTAAGATAGCTGAGGTGAACATGGAGAAGATTCTACGTGTACCGGAAATACGTAATTAATATTGATACCTTTTTCAAAATTATACATTGTTCTGACGATTAAGTCTGCCATGGCCAGCTGCCACGCATGACCGCATTTTGGACATGCGAGCAGGATTAAGAGATGTGCATATCCATATGATGAAATGTTGAGTTCATTTTTGTATTACATGAAACTGATTGGCCCACTGAACGTTCTGGGCATCATTGGTAACATCACAAAGCAAAGGTATGTCATGCTGACTGAGGAGGCAGTAGCTGAAGACCCCGTCCGACTTTGAACTGAGTAATCGCTTACCATGCATGGCGCTGATCGACAGATATAAAGCCGACTCTGAGGTCCCTTGTCATCGCTCGCAAATTGCATCTCCTAACAAAATTATGGCGGAATCAAAGGCCTGGCTAGGTAAGTTCTCGGTATTTGTTCATCGGGCTCCGCGAATTGACGAACCGATGCAAGTTACTGGATCGTCTTCGGGATTCGGTCGCTCCATGACCGAACTCCTGTTAAAGAACGGAAATAGAGTGATAGCAACTCTACGGCGCAAAGAAGCCCTGTACGATCTTGCCGAACAGTATCCGTCTTCTCAATTGTTGATCGTCCAGACGGATGTCGTAAAGACTTCGGAGGTCGTTGCCGCATTCGCAAAAGCCAAAGAGGTGTTCGGACGTGTCGATGTCGTGTTCAACAACGCAGGCATGGCTATTCTCGGAGAGATGGAGTCTATGAGCGATGAAGACGCTCGTCAAATCTTCGAAGTGAACTTTTGGGGTGCATCAAATGTCACAAGGGAGGCTATTCGGATGTTCAGGGAAGTGAACAAACCTATCGGAGGAAGATTATTGCAGGTTTCTTCTTCACTGGGCTTACGTGGAAGAGCTGCAGCATCCTACTATGCCGCATCGTGAGTGAACATGGCTATGTGTGATTTCAATGCTCACCAACAGCTACTTCTGACAATAGTAAACATGGTAAGCGTGTTTGTTTAAGGCCATAGCAGTATCTCAAACTGGATCTCCAGCATTGGAAGGATTCAGTGAGAGTCTCGCACAAGAACTGGACCCAGCTTGGAATATACAGGTTTAGTCAGTTTAGTCTGAAGATGGAACTCAAGCTGATGCCAGGTAGATCACCATAATCGAACCAGGTCCATTCCGTACGGCTATGTTCAGGGGCAACATGCAACTTGTTCCTTAACATTCAGCATATGCAGACCCAGAGCTACCTGGTTCTAAATTCCGCCAGTTTATGACTTCAACTGTGGCTGATGGAGACACTGAAAAGGCGGTGGTGGTCATTGAGAAGCTCACTCACCTAGATGATCCACCGCTAAGAATTCCATTGCACAGGCTTGCAGTCAGAGCGGGGAGAGAGAAGGCCAAGAGTCTCACTGAAACCATAGATAGATACGAATCATGGACAGAAAACGTCTACTTCGGGTAGTACAGTTGATGCGATTTACTCTTGTCTGAGGCCTATCAGCAGAAGTGCATTGTACCATTGATGACATTCAGGAAGCCTTTGGCGTGCAGTGACGGCTAGGTTCGTCCAAGTGACTCCTTACACGCGGGATTATAAGAAATAGAAAATCAAGGATGTGTGAAGTGCATAGCATACCTTCCAGAGCCCGGCGCCAAATCATATCCGGCCTGAGATAGATTTTAAATGTATTCAGATAGGAAGTATTTAAGGCCAGCGCGAGGCTGCTTGAGTGGGAAACAAGCAAAGAATGCACGGGAAGAGTAAGAGATATAACACGGAGGTTTGCCAGACCACAGACCATTCTTTCGGTAAATACAATCTCCGATTGATCTCAGGTAGAGACGGCGGATGCTGCACGTCGGGTCGCCGATAACTGTCTCGTCGATTGGGAATGCTGCCACTTGCTCATCGATGCATCAGTCGCTGCCACTCACGTTAGGTCCCCGAATCGTTGACGAGTACTGAGTACTGAGTGTTCAAACAAGCTTTGTGGTTCGTCATTTGTATATACTAGGTCATGTGATCGCGTCATTCAGTAAGAAACAATTCATGCTCCATAGTCCGCGTCAACCACAAGGATATTTGCTGCCATCTGAATATCATTAGAAAAGTATTCCATAATCAAGAATTATAAGTGCGGCACCAGACTAGTCCATGACACCACCTTGTATGCATCAGGAGGAAGATTGCGTAAAGTGGTGAACATAAGTACCAAGAGCACGACACGAGCTGTGATGTACAACGTGACAAGTGCGCAGCAAGTCATAAGATATACACCCCATATGATGTGCCTTTCTGAATCGGGTAGGCGCCGTACTAGATAAATTATTTCCGAGTTTAAGTAGGCACTCAAACAAAGGCAGGGTGTGCAAGTTGTAACGACGGCACTTATGCGCCATAGCACCTGTTCCTCGTATGTTGGGAACGCAAAAAACCAAGCCATACAGTGGATGCCGCCGAATATGATTGCCATAATCAATGCAGCTTGCTGAAGAATCGTTTTGTCCGAAACGTTGAGTTCAATGCTGCCATCAAATGTTGGAACTTGAAGTTTTCGAGATGTGGGAATATCAGCCCAGCCTATCAGTTCTATAATTGGGCTGAAGGCTCGAGGCAAGTATCGAAGCCGAGCGAATTCATCTCTGTCGCTGACACTAATGCAGACATAATCAACAACGGTATGATTGTTGAGGCACATACTACATACTCAATGTGATCCTCTGGCCTTGACTCGCTCGACTTCCAGTACACTGGATGTGGACATCGCACATCGAGAGGCTTGTTCCACCACACAGCATAAGTTAGGAAATTAAGAACCGCAAAAGCGAGTGTTCCCACTTCGAGCTGAGTGGTTTCGAGGCGATAGATAGCGCGGGTGATGAGCTGCATAACGAACCAGGCCACCTGAAGCATGACCAATCCTTTCGATATCGCATTGCCTTTGCTTTTGTCATGAATCTGGTTTGCTGTTAGGGTAGGGACTTTGATACACTTGTCATGTATCAGTTTGAGGATGTGCTTAGGTTGTAGCGTGCGGTAGGGTTCATCGTTCACATAAAGCATAAAACCACCCATAAGCACAAAGAAGCTGTGCGTCCGAGTCCACGTAAAATCTAAGGATGCATATGAGTCAACATTGGGGTGAGCACGAATCTGACTCACCTTCCGAGTCGGACTCGGATTGCTCTGACTGAATCCGCCTTACAACCCACCTCACGAGAGCACAAAGGAAATGCCAAAGAGACACCGGCACGCCTGTAACAAGCAGGACAGAGAGGCGAACGAAAGCCTCAGTCAAGTGCAGAGAGAGGCGAAGGAAGGGATTCGCAGTTCTAGGTGCTTCAATAAACTCACTTTCTAGAAACGAACGTGTAGTGAGTTGTGCGATGTCACAGAGTTTCCAAAAACCCAACTCACCTTCAGACTCCGGACGAACATTGGGATACCCTGATTCCTTGAACTGTCTGGTGACTTGATGAGCGCTGAACCACTGGCGCATAGCCCATGTAACAATCAGCTCAGGAGCGATTAGCGCCATTATCATGATTCCAAATTGTCGCCATAGAATGCGATACCAGCTGCTGTTCTTAGGACTTGGGATATTGGGGTGGATGGCACTGTATATGCATGCGAAAAGAGTGAGAACCGAGCTGGAGATGATAGACCATAGGGTTCTGGTCGTGAATGATGGGGCTTTAAAACTCTCATCATTAGTAGTAGTATTTGTTGTGTTTGTTGTAGCTTGGATTACTTCAATGAGGTAAAGGAAGAAGCAGAAAAGTGGTAAGCACATTTTTAATATTGAATGTCACTTTGGGGTGGTATTGCGGCATGCATCTTGTTCACTATTTGTATGTTACTGGCAGGCGTTAGTACAGGGCTGAGAATAGGCTGTTCTTATCTCTCGAGCCTGAGCGTTCCGACGTTCACGAAAACAAGATACTATTACCTGGATCCTTGGGTACCCTGCCCATCGCCGCTGCCTCCAAAACTTGACGTCGAACATTAATATTGTATTAGTAATGGCACTTGCAATACGCCATCAATGTTGTTATATCTTTTTTCCGTGCTCTGGGCGTACGGCATGCCTCAACCTCGCAGGGTTCTGTTCTTGCTAAGCACATGCCATCCCTTCAAGTGTTTCGTCGTGCATACATGCAAGGCTATGGCTCTGATCGCGGCCCTTGGCGTTATCGTCTCTTTCCAGAGCACGAGCTACGTGCCCAGATCCTGAAACGCTGCGCAACTAATATCTCAAGTGACGGAAGGAGCCTTGGGGCTTCTCTCCAGCCTCACGTTAGTTCAGTCAACGAGGACAGATATCTGATTATGGATTTAAGCCTTCCAAATGGTGTTTGGAGCTTGAACTGTGTCTTCGATGGTGCGTGCTACTATGAGGCACTACAAATACACCTTTCCCCTCGCATCTTATTAAACAATACAACATCTTCTATGCAGGGCATGGAGGGCATGAAACAGCTGACTACCTTGTCTCCGAATTGCCCTCCCTTTTAATGGCTGGACTGTTGCCCACCGTGACCAACTTGGAGGGCGTTTCAGATGTTCTCACCAGAGCGATTTTTGACGTGGATGAAGCAATAACACGGGACTTCCTCGAAATATTCCCTGAAGAAGTCGACGAGATCGCTACGATGTCAGATATAACAGTCAAAGCGCGGGTCAACGACCAGTCATCCGGAGGACTCAATCATCAGAAAGCCCTACGTTGCTTGAGGGGATCTACAATCTTATTGACGCTCGTCGACCCTACAAAGAAACATCTTTGGGTGCTAAATCTCGGTGATGGCTTAGTGGGTAAGCTGAGGTGAAGGGTTCAAGCGGAAATCACTGACATCGACTTTGGAGCAGTGCTCGGAAGTAGACGAGACGCGAGTTCACAATGGAATGCATCCATCTTGAGCGATAATCACAATGGCAACAACCCTGCTGAGGCTGATCGCATTAAACAGCAACACCCTGGCGAACCAGAATGCATCTTCGACGATAGAGTGCTCGGTAATCTTGCTGTCACGAGAGGTAAGCCTATCGAATGCACTGGATCAATTGATCTCACTGTGATGCGGCGTCAAGCTGTTGGCGACCACAGCTTTAAACTGCCTCGCATCTACGCCGAGAAAATATTTTTAAATGTAGAACCGGGGTTTCGTGTCCCTGCTGCGATTGAGTCTTTCATTCCACGAAATCTGAGCCCACCATACGTCTCGAATCTCGCAAGCGTTCGTTATGTCGACCTCCATGAGCAGTCAAGCTGCGACTGCCTTATCCTGATGTGTTCCGACGGGCTGGTTGACCTTTACATGGATGACCCAGATCACGTTGAATCCCTTACATCTCTCGTCCAGAAGTGGGTGGGAATAGTAGGTGACGTCGTGAAAGACGACATTCAGGAGGCAATGCTGCGCTTGTTAAGACATGCACTGGGCGCAGAAGACATCGACAGCGTCTCATGTATGCTTAACGTAGACATGCCTGTCCCTTACATGGATGATACGACTGTCATCTTACAAGTGCTGTAGCATCCGATACGAAGGCGTGTGCATGTAGGGGGTAACGGATGCGGATTGTACAGATGCCAAGTGCCAGAAATGCTGCGTTTGTAAATTACAGATAAAAGTCAGAAAAACGTCGAGCCCTGCATCATCGCAAGTCCACGATCTCCAGCGGGATGTCTTTCATTTGCACGTGCCCCTTGTCTGCGTCCTAAACAACCGATCAATAGCTGTGGACGAACCACTCCAGAAGCTACGCACCGTGTAGATCAGGACTTCTGGGTGCGGGTGGAAGGCTTCCTTGACATTGCAGTCCAAAATTGTTTGCAAGCCTGGGGGGTCGGTGAGGCGGAAAATTCCAAAGCTAACCGTGTAAATAATTAAGACACGAGTGGTGTGAGCAATGTGGTACGCACTTGGGAGTGAACTTTGGGGTGCAAACAACGGCAAAGGACTCGGGAAGCATGCGCTGAAATCCAGAACGTGTATGTAGATCAACCGACGACATAAAGCCTTCGTAAAGGGCCAGTAAGCAAGAGGTTTTGTGCTAAATTTAAGGACCCACAGGATTGTGAAGGGTGCGTGTGAATCTAACGAAGATCGTTAGACGCAGATACACAGAACAACCGGAGGAAACATACCACTGGTGTCTGCATGTATCTTTCATCTATGGTGAATATATCAACATTCGTGTTTGTCTGCGGTGTATCATACATACAGCGCATATACTGAGCTAGGCACTGTGTACCGTAATTATAGGGCCGGAATAGACACTGATACAAACAAAAAGTGAGCAGACTGGCCCTGGAGTCATCACGCTAATGGCCCAAAAGCAAATATGTTAGTGGAAGCATCACGGGTGAAAATGAGTATGTAAGAGGCGAATGCAAACATCTTGTGTCTCAAGGATGGTTAATGTTGGCGATGCAGTCGAGGTCGGACTCCGAGAGACAGCAGCAGGAGGTCATGGATGGGCTGCACAAAGGTCGCGGGAAGTCACTCATCACGCATATTGTCATTAGACAACGCCAGCGGGCTGCGGGAGACTGCAGGTAGGACGTATAGTCGTCAGGTCCTGCGGTTGCAGGCTTGCTTATTTTAGCATACTGCAAAACAAAACAAATTTGTTTTGAGCTTACAATACGGCGACAACTGCCAGCAACTCTGAGCCGATCCGATTCGACTGAGCTGATACACGATAGAAACGAAAGTATAAGCGTAAATGCGACTTGCGGCTACTTAGTCACAGGCTTTGCTGGCATTTTGGAGGATAAATATTGGAAACGATCGGTCGTGTAAGTTGCGTAGAAGGAGTGTATGGAGCGGTGGGATGGGCACGGGTATTGAAGGGACTAATGGGTTAAGTTCGGGTTCAGGATGCAAAGAAAACGGTTCTCTGGGCGAGGACGCAAAGCCCTTCTCTTCAACATGCTCACCAACATGATCCTCATCCTCGTGTTTATACTCATCGTCCCCAAACAGATCCGCGCTTCAAAGCTGTGTTATCTCCTCCACAGCTCGCTTTATCCGGATCAACAAACTCTGCGCGTCCTCTTCATCCTCACTAAGTAAGGTCAGTGGGACCTTGAAAGGGGATCCAAATGGTTTCACTGAGAAGAGCTTCGTAGGTGATGTGCAGGTGGGAACTTTCATAGGACACGCGCATCTTTAAGTACTTGGTTAGTGACATGCTTATTTTCCCGCATTCAGTGGACGACGCACCGCGCTCGCTGGCAATGTGAATAACAGAGTACAGCAGTGAGGAAAACTTCCTGGGCGTGGTTCCATTACTCGCTCCCAAAGGGGCAGAGGGTGTAGAGGGTGCGACAGATAACCGTCTGAGCCCTGGTACCTGTGCGGGAGAAGGGTTGGGTGTAGTAGGTGTGGCTGATGGAGACACTGATAAGGCGGTGGTGGTTATTGAGAAACTCGCTCACCTAGATGATCCACCGCTAAGATTTCCATTGCACAGGATTGCAGTCAGAGCAGGGAGAGAGAAGGCCAAGAGTCTCACCGAAACCATAGATAGATACGAATCATGGACGAAAAACGTCTACTTCACGTAGTACAGCTGATGCGTAGTACCTACTTTAGACGCATTGGACTTGACGATGAACTTGAATGTGGCGGGATATAGCAAATGCTGATTACTCTTGTCTGAGGGATCAGCAGAAGTGCATTGTACGTTGATGACATTGAGAAAGCCTTTGGCGTGCAGTAACAGCTAGGTTCGTCCAAGTGACTCCTTACACGCGGGATTGTAAGAAATAGAAAATCAAGGATGTGTGAAGTCACTGAAGTGCATAGCATACCTTCTAGTAGACTCCAGAGCCCGGTGCTAAATCATATATCATATCCGGCCTGACACAAATTTAAAGTGGATTCAGATAGGACATATATAAGGCCAGCGCGAGGCTGCTTGAGTGGGGGACAAGCAATAGATGCACAGGAAGAGTGAGAGATATGACACGGAGGTTTCAGTCAGAGTCATGTGATCGCGACAGTCCGCGTCAACCACAAGGATATTTCAAAATTTGCCGCCATCTGAATATCATTAGAAAAGTGTGAATCGTATCTTGAGCAACATAATCAAGAATTAATTACAAGTGCGGCACCAAACTAGTCCACAACACCGTCTTGTATGCGTTAGGAGGAAGATTGCGTAAAGTGGTGAACATAAGTACCAAGAGGACAACACGAGCTATAATGTACAACATGGCAAATGGGAAACAAATCATAAGACATAGACCCCGCATGACGCGCATCAATGAATCGTGCTGTATTGAATCGATTATTTCCGCGGTCAAGTAGGCACCAAAACAAAGGTAGGGTATGCAAGTTGTAGCGACGGTACTTATACGCCATAGCACCTGTTCCTCGTATGTGGGGAACGCAAAAAACCAAGCCATACAATGGATGCCACCGAATATGGTTCCCATAGAATATCCAGCAAGCAGAAGAGCCATCCTGTCCTGAACTTCGAGTTTAATGCTGCCATCAAATGTTGGAACTTGAAGTTTTCGAGATGTGGGAATGTCAGCCCAGCCTATCAGCTCTAAGATTGGACTGAAGACTCGAGGCAAGTATCGAGGCCGAGCGAATTCGTCTTTGTCGCTGACACTAAGGTAGACATAATCAACAGCGGTATAATCGTTGAGGCGCATACATACTCAATGTGATCCTCTGGTCTTGACTCAGTTGACTTCCAGTACACTGGATGTGGACATTGCACATCGAGAGGCTTGTCCCACCACACAGCATAAGTTAGGAAATTAAGAGCCGCAAAAGCAAGTGTCCCCACTTCGAGCTGAGTGATTTCGAGGTGATAGACGGCGCGGGTGATGAGCTGCATAACAAACCAGGCGACCTGAAGCATGACCAATCCTTTCGATATCGCATTGCCTTTGCTCTTGTCGTGGATCTGCTTTGCTGTTATGGTAGGGACGTCGATACACTTTTCATGTATCAGTCTGAGAATGTGCTTGTGCTCTAGTGTACGGCAGGGTTCCCCCTTTGCATAAAGCATAAAACCACCCATGAGCACAAAGAAGCTGTGCGTCTGAGTCCACGTAGAAACTAAGGACACATGAGTCAACATTTGGGTGAGCACGGATTGGGCTTACCTTCAGAGTCGGGCTCGGAATGCTCTGACTGAATCCGTCTTGCAACCCACCCCACGAGAGCACAAAGGAAACGCCAAGGAGACACGAGCACAGATGATACACCTGTAACAAGCAGAAGATGGAGGCGAGCGGTACCCTGATTGACGCGGAGAAAGAGGAGAAGAATGGGATTTCTAGTTCCAGGTGTTTCAACAGACACCCTTTCTAAGGACATGTATAGTGAGTTGTGAGATGCAGAGTTTTCAAAAGTACCACTCACCTTCAAACGCCGAACGAACACTGGGATACCCCGATTCCTCGAACTGTCTTGTAACTTGTTGAGCGCTGAGCCACTGGCGCATAGCCCATGTAACCATCAACTCGGGAGCGATTAGTGCCATTATCATGATGCCAAGTTGTCGCCATATCATATCAAGGGAGCTGCTGTACTTCGGACTCGGGATATTGGGGTGGATGGCACTGTATGTGCACGCAAACAGAGTGAGAATGGAGCTGGAGATGATAGTCCATATGGTTCTGGTCGTGAATAATAGAGCTTTAAAACTGTCGTTAGTAGTGGTATCTGTTGTGTTTGTTGTACGTGCAGCCTGGACCACTCCAGCGAGATAGAGGGAGATGCAGAAAAGGAAAAGTACTAAGCGCATTATGATTGAATTTGGATGTCACTTTGGGGTGCATCACGGTATGCATCTTGTTCACTATTTGTATGTTACTGACGGGCGTTAGTACAATGGGGGTACTGAGGATAGGCTGGTATTATCTCTCAAGCGTTAAAACGTTACTGTGCATATTTCTACCTATTTGTCTATTGTGCGGATAATGAGCAGTTTCTGAATAAAATTACAAATATGCATAAGGATCAAATTCTATTGATTAAATTCAGAGTAAGTTTGGCAAAACAGGGAGAATTTGTTTCGTAATCTGCATACATTGCATGTCGACTTAATTTCCAAAATTTAGTTACAAATATTAAGACGCCTCCGAGGTTACAATTGTTCACGTATATTTCAGGTGACATTTCCAGGGCCATATGGAGGATCAAGTTACATATCAAACTCAAAGTCTGCCCACCTGGTAAACCCGAAAACAAATTTTAAAAATTATCATTATTTATCAACACGACAAATTGGTTTACAATTTGTAAATATGTCAAATATATGTACGAGTGGCCCTCTGAGAGGCTCACTCAGCTCACTCAATTCGACATTTCTAGAGTGGTTGGTTAACGCATGGCGCGATTAAACATGAATCTACTGTGCATTTAAATATCTCTGTAGATAATCCAGCGAGAGGACAACTAAAATGCTGGCAAAGCTTAAGAATGCGACTGAAAGTGCAATCACCATTGCTTGGGCCAGCTGAGAATAAGGCTGCAAATATGATATAAAGGCAGGGATGATATTGGTAAGACGTCAAGACTTACCTTTCGTAAAGCGATGGGCATTTTGGTAGCCTTGATAAGACACACTTCGATGACATAGAAGTCGTTGGTTGATTCCTGAATGCGATCTTGGAGTTTTTCGAGTTGACACGAACCTAAACGAGAGCCTGCATATTTCTATACCAAATGTGAGTGGGGGGACTTGAGCCAGAAGAATGACTGACTGACCCGACGTAAAACCATGTGCGATGAGATACCCTGCAGTATGTAAGTTAACGTGAACGCAAACAGATTTCTATACAAATGTAAGTGCGGAACTGATACCCTGCGGTATGTATACTAGTTTTCGAGGTACAGCAAGGTTTGCAAAATCATAATTATACAAGGTTACCTGTAACAATAGCTTATATACAATAAGACTTCGATGACTACAAAAGACTATGAAGGAAGGCTACTTGTAATAAGTACTAATGTACAATACACGTACTTAAGGCAATGATAGACGGAAGGAAAATATTAGTGTAAGGTTTCGATCCTAAGTAGTGAATGAGACTCAGTCGGAACTCCGACGGACAAATCCGGCAGCCACTCTGTGTCAGCCCGCTCAACCACTCGGGTATTTCCAGTGGAGTCTAAATCTGCCATTCACTACTTAAGCATTCGAAATCTCATTCCTTACTTCCTTTTGTTCTGTCATGTGTTAGTTATAGCTATAGCGATAGCGACAACTAAGTTTGAATGTTATTATTATATTTTGTAATAGCGTCGTAGCAGCGACTACAGTTTTAATATCAATTAAATCATTGTATTATGTAGGAGCGTCCTAATGGCAGAATTATAGTCATTCTGACCCGAAGCTTGAAGAACAAAAAAGGTGTCATGACTTATGACAATGCCCCTCAAGTTCAGGCCTACGGTGCAACACCCTTGAAGCACAACAAGCTGTCATAACGCATCGGACTTACGGTGCTACTCAATGGTGTAATATGAAATGTGTAAGTACAAGTCATTTAATTTGATTTTCTGCGCTAACTGATACACCGCCCAGGCAATAGGTTGATGGTCTTGAGTGATGGAATCTTATTGTCCAAATGCTAAGTTTTCAATTGTTGTAACGGTAGCTTTTGCAAGCTCATTCTCCTTAGCTTCGCTTCAATGGTCGAAAGCTCCCAGCAATGTGAGCCTTAAATACAGGATATTACATCCTTTGAGACCGATTTCCTATCTGTGATTATGGCTCATCATTTAATGCTGGATGATGAACCCGAGATCCACCCCAATCCTCAAAATATTGCTACAGCTATCATCAGAATTGGGCGAACTGCCCACAAGTATGTGGCAAAGTTGGACATTTTCACCGTCACTTATGAGGTTGCAATTTTTCTAGTTTCCTCACTTGCGGGAACCCCGGTTTGCCTGCCCCCAGTGTGCCAGAACACTGGGCTAATCTAGAGTACAGACGATCCGATAACACTTCATTAACATACAGGCCATACAGGCCATACACCTCGTTCACACCCTCCCCTTCGCACGAAGGGCAACATTCTAGCCACTCCATGCGTCGTGTGTCCCAGACTCCTCAATTGTCTCTGTTGAATATCGCCTCCCCTGAATCTTCATCTACATTTGCCGACTCTCAGTTTAACATGACCGAGTATCTGTTCTCGCCTCTTACCACATCGTCATCCACGCCGTCTGGTTCTCCATCTATTCCGATACCCATGTCTCCGTCCATCCCTACAACACATACTGACCTGGCTACTGTTACTCCAACAACGCCAATTACAGTCTCTCCAGTGTCTACTATACCTGTCTATCTGACCACCTCAGATACCCAACATGGCGATGTTCCCATGGGCGACGAGCATTCATCCCAGGTCAATGATGATGATGATGTGATGGAACAGGACATAGCAACAGTTGTTCCTCCACTCATCACCCCTGTTTTACAACCAATTCAACATCCTCCTTCCACCAGCTCCACGCGAACGAGACCGTTGCCATTACCAAACACTGCAGAAACTTATTCGGGCCAGCTGTTAAATAAGCAATTCGCTGAATTATCCGACAAAATAGTCGGTCCTGCTCTTAGCAAAGCCATTGACGGTATGATTCCGGCGATGGTTGAACGGATAGCGGGCGAGATTAGAGGTCTCTCCTCTCCGTGCTCTCACCACCCTCGCGTCTTGAAACGCGGGTCTGTTGAAGATTACGATACCGAGCCTGAACATGAGGACGATCTCACCCCTTCCCCTCACAGGAAGCATCCAGGAAAGTGTGGTACTAAAAACCATTTACATGTACGTCTGGATTACATCTTTGTGAAAAGGGACTAATCAATATCAATTATAGGACTTGTTTCGTAAATATCTTCGGGATAAACACTTTCTGAAGTTGAAGTCCAAGAATGGTCCCCTGCCGCAATCACCTCCGTCGCATGTGGTCGAAGCATATAATCGTGATAATGATAACCCGCCAACTTTGGACAAAATTGCTATCGATTGGCAGGACTCTTTGAGGTCCTCTGTGTGGAACGCTGAGGCGGTCGATTTACTAGTAGTAGACTTTCAAGAAAAAGTCAAGACAGGCAGTTTCCCATTGGTAATTTTCGACAACGACACAATGAACCTCGATAACTTGTGCGTGCTTTGCATCAACAAGCTCCGTCGCACTCAACAAGCTTGTCGAGAGCACATGAAGATTGAAGGATTCGAAGACAGTCAACAGAGGGAGGTCGCTACCCGTGACTTGTCTTATCGTAACAGTCGAAGGCAACACTTAGATAGGTGTAATACCTGTAAACATGGGGTAAGTGGATATCATTCTTTCCACCATTTTGTCTCTAATGTCTTTGTAGACGCTCGAAAGACATAGGAAAGTCGTTGACCAAAATCGCCACCGTAACCCTCAATCTTGGGACACGATCAGGCGCATAATTGATTGGCTTGATGTTGATGGAATGAGCGGGGATGAAACTGACACCCCTCTTGGTGTGACACCAAAGATCGTGAGGCATGTGGCTCTCCCATGGATCAGTCCGGCCATCACTGATCTCCTTCACGCTATTGAGTCCTACGTTCCCACAGTGTATGAGGAGAACATGTCAGTCCCGGTTGGTAACTCATCACTTCTTCGTCTCATGGAGGCCAAACGCACCTCAAAAAACTCTATTGCAATCGCACGTCTCCCCGCAATTGGTATGATGACAATTGGTTCAAAGCCCATTCAAGCAGTGCGCGGGCAATGCTTGATGTGTGCAAAGACTTTGATGTCCCGCTCTTGGTTCGTATTTGCATTTGAAAATTTAAAATGTTACTTACCTCCTGATAGGGTGCCTATTATTCTGCGAATGATATTCGTCGGTAAATTTGCATCGCAGACATTCGCGTTCTACCATCCGAACCTGTATGGCACTTTTTCTATTGTGTTAGACTTGCTACAATGTATTCTAGATTATTACTACGTAAATCTTGTTCGCAAGTCCCGACAAGGAACAAGCACATAATGACAAGAATACCGAGTCTACAGATCGTTGTGGATAATTATTGAAGTTGGTGTGTGTTCGTTTCACTGCCAACATCAATTGTCCATAATGTTCATTGTTCGACTGTGGGAACTTCTCAATCTCAATTTGGGATTCACTACAAATAGACGTCTAGTGCCTCGGGACTCCTCTTGGACTTCATCATACAGTACGGATTTTACATTATTAGTGTAGGAGTTCAATTGGCATTCACGATAAATAGGCGCTTCACGCATTAGAACTTTCCATCATACCTAGATAGTTCGAACAACCTATTAGACTCGGATCGATGTCTAAATGGCCAGCATCTTATGAAATTGCTCCAGAAGGGTCTATCAAACACGTCAAGCAAACTAATGTGAGTATCGAAACATTATGTTTGTTTAAGCTAACGCAATTTTATTTAAAGGCAATGGTTACAGCCCAGACTAAGAGCTTCCTCGATCTCCAGGCGCAGGTGGACTGGGAGGAGATGATAGACGAGGTAGAGGACGAAGAAGGTAGAGTTCTTGGATATTGTCGATTTCTGCAACTGTCTCATCTTGCTGTACAGACGACAATGCCTTTGTAGTCCCCGATGATCAGGCTTCTGATAATGATCAATCATCATCATCAGACCCCCTGCAAAACGAGGCAGCATGGGATATCCTGCAGGCATTTCTCAAAACTGACATGCAGTACGATGAAATGGAGAGGCAACTTGTTTCATACCTCGATGAGCAATATCATGCAGAGGACTGGACGGAGGCGAAGAGGGTCTTATTCTCGGGCGATGGGGACAATCGGCTGTCCTTGATCAATCTTCTCGCTCTCAAGGAACAGCACATTGCACCAGCGAAACTGGCGCAGCTCTCAAGTGGGTCAAACCTTCAGCGTGGACTTACTTGGCAGGACAGGGTCCAACGAATTCAAGATAAGTATGCATCAAGTTCTACGTTGTTGCCAGTCCAACCTTCGCTGCGACGTGTTCCTTCGTCCGGCGAGTACACACGGGACATCATCAACAAATATATGTCCAACAAAATCAGTTCTAGTCATGCCTATTTCCTCATGGAGACAGAATTTTCTGATGACTCAACGTTGATGAGTTTTTGGGAGTCCGTACTGGACGCCGTCGTGGACGCTGACACAAGTGAGGCAAAACGTCAGGTATTTGCCAAGTGGACATCGGACGTAGAACATGTGATGTCACACGCAGCACAATCAACAACCTTCGCCCAGCCTCAACAAGGAGAAAGAGTGCTCGAGAAGCCCACAAGTACTCAAGATGTTGAGAAAATGGCAACACCTGACCTCCCAACGTGGCTTGTCACAGTGCCCTGTAGGTACATTTCCCCTATGAATATGGTGTATCTAATATCTAGTCTTAGCGTCCAAAACATCTTATTTAGCAACGCAGCTGAAAAAGAAGGGTTTTGAAGTCTATACACACTCAACCCTCCCAGGTCATTTCTGTGTCAAGGCCGAAAATACTTACGTTATCAGGGAAGCTTGGCCCTCCTCTCACATCCACTGCTACTTCAATGTTCTTTTTATCCCTCCGAAGGACCAGACCTTGAGCAAACCTAGCGTGGCAATTCCTGGCTGGTATCATCCCATACGTGGCCAGTATTGGCATGATGTGGGATACGGACACTCTTATGATCCGGAATCCGACATCATCACAATCTTAGTTGCATCCAGGGCACTCACAAGGCAGGGTGTCAGGGTGGACTCTCACATGCCGCGCCTGTACGATACTCCTAATGGCCTGTTGACCTGTGAAAATCGAGGCAAGACATACATACATGGTTTTCTGGCGCTTAAATTGCGTAGAACTGCAGTTGTTGAAATCCCCATTCCCGCCCCAGATAACATTTTATTCCACAATGAATCGAAATGCAATCCCACATTCGTACAGTCTACATTGCATGCATATGCCTCACAACACTTGGTGGAAGGCGACCTCGTAAGGGTTAGAGCAGGGGAAATGGTTGGATGCACCGCCAAGATTGATTGCATTGACATGGGTACCCATTTGGCATCAGCATACATGGAGGATTCATTGCACGTGGAGAAAGTCTCTCCCAGACCACTTATGTTTTCCCTCGTTGATTTGGAGAGGAAATTTCGGGTGGGGGACAATGTTTGTGTGCTTGATCATAGCATAGTGGCGTCGGCTTTCAAGGGGAAAAATGGCATTGTCGTTCAAATCGATGAGGACACTGTTGTTGTACACGACCAGTCTTCTCAGTGCCAGGTAAGTGACTCCGCGACTTTTATATCATTGTTGACATTTCTTCAAGTTCACTGTTGCAATCGACTCTTTGGCGACGTTCATCGGGGATTTCACTAAAAAGGATCCTGCTAATGTAACAACCGTCATTGAAACTCCAATGAAAGGGGATCATGTCGTTGTAACCGAGGGTTTCTATGCTTGTGAATTTGGGGAGGTCTCCGAGGTTGACCTCAGGACCCAAATGCTCGTGTTCTTCTCGGAATCACAACAATTACGCATCACGGTGCCCATACGTATGACGGCATTCAATCCTAATCCAGCTGCACTTCGACACACTCCCGAGCGCGGATATGACCTTGTAGCTGGTGATATCATTCAAGTGGTTAGAGGCAAGCGGCTCTGTGCGTCAGGCAAGGTCTTGCACGTCAATCTGGATAATTCAACTTTGACGTTTGAAGACATGCCCCACACCGAGGTTTGTTTGTTTTAGTCAATCTCATTCATTTACATTTAACAGATATAATCATAGTTCACCACCCGCATAACATATGTTGCAAGAATTGGCAGGAAAGGGGATCGTGATCTGATGCAGGACTGTATTGGCAAAGATGTCATAATAATATCTGGTCCAATGAAATCCTATCGAGGCACGTTGCATTCGCTCTCCCAGGACAAATGCCAGGTTGCCATTGTTCAGGGTTCAAAACAAGAATTCCGGTGAGAGCACACTTTCGCTTTATCTGTTCGATACTCACACACATGTAGCCGGTCTGGAGTTCTCCTCACTGGTGTTCGCTTGCCTTATAAGCTCCAAATGGATTTTAACAAATTAGTTCGGTCTTTGTTTATCCAGTCCCCGCATGTGACCCCCCCTCGCACTCCTCGTCACTCACCTCCTCCCGAGGCATCACGTTCTGATCTGCCTACTGATGCTACACTACAATCATGGGATGCCCCCGCAGAGTCAGTGTTGCTAGAACTGAATCGCCAACAAGATCTTAGTTCTGGTGAGGCTCTCTTTTAATACCTGACTGGAGCTGTCATCTGACCTCCCACAGCCTCTCAGGACCCTTGGACAATCAATGAGGCTGACAAGGAAGACTTACAATTGCATCCTGCTAATGCGAGTTCATCGTCCTCTCTTGGTATAGCCTCATTGGCTTATGCACTGTCTGCGCTCGCTCACATTTATTACAGCAGATAGCCTGACCAGCATGTTCCACGATACTCATATTGCTGGCTTGTGCTGCAATTGGCACATGAAGTTACACGTAGTAAAGACATCGCCTGCCACATGGTTTAACAACTTCATGGATCGGCTCGTGAATACGGTCGCCCTGGACCCATTCGTCCTCTCTAATTCGCTGGTCAAACATGGCAAAATTGCCATCAGATATTCTTCCAGAACGAAGAACACTGGGATGAAGGTGGATACAATTCCTCTAGAATTTCTCACCCCGGAACCTCCGACAGGAAAAAACAGGAAATTCACTTTGATCCGAGGCGAATTCATGGGCAGCGTTCATACTACGATGCTTAGGCAATGGCACGGGTAACCCGCGGGTATCCACGAGCATACCCGCACCCGTATCTGCCACTTACCCGCACCCACGGCCCAAGGGTATGCTCGGGTACAGGTTTCGACGAGGGTATGCAAAGGGTATCATGGGTATATAACCCGCGGCAGGTAACCCACGACCCACGCATTCATGTAGATAGATCTATCATAGGTACAAGGGATGTCAGTAGTAGCAACACAATAACAACTAAATATTGATAACATCCCAGCCATCAACCAATTGATCCTCCTCACCGTCGACATCGTTCAACACTGCAACTGCTTTGACGTCGTCGTCGTGCACCAAACCCAACTGGCTCCAGATCCCAACACACAGCAAGGCCCGAGTTGTCTGCGAACATGCGAGAGCAGCAGTCGTCCATGGCTAAAAATATGTTCGACATCAACGGATGTAGCTGGTGTCAATGTGAGTAGCAGTATGACAAAAAACGAGGAGAAAACATACCAGGAATTGTTAGATAATCGAGTGCCATGCGCGAGAGACGCAGATAAGTTGTACGGTGCTTGTGCCACCATGAAATGACATTGGGGACATGCTCACACTTTGTGCTGAGGTATGCGGTAAGTTCGTCTGAAGAGGCCGAGTTCCTGGGAGCCGCAAGAGCCGGAATATGGTCGAAAATGTTCTCTTTTCTTGATGTCTGTGAGTATCGGATCAATGTGTTAGTAACGATCCTGATTGAACCAAATCAAACATACCTTTGGAACCTGTGATTCATGCTCACCATCCGCCGACTCTCCATCCGCCGAACCGGTTGGCATGTCAGCATATGTGAAGTCAAACTCGTGGCGCACAAGGTCAGAGGCCATCTGGATCCACTCTGCCTCCCATCCAGCAGTCTTGAAGTAGCTCAGTTTGTGATGCGGATGAAGCACTTTAAATAGATTAGTATAGTGAACATTACAGAGTGAATGAAAACTTACCCATTGCTATGCGGTATGTTTGAGAAGAGTCGGTAAGGGAATAGTACCTGTCCAAGGTCTTCTTGCCCATAGCGAGTGCGGCACGAATGGCGCTATTCAAGTTCTGGTCGAAGGAATGGGTAGTGAGTGATTCGTTGATGTGATCCATGGCTGGGATTACAGTAGCAAGGTTTGGCGTGGCACGGGAAAAGTAGGTGGTGGCATCCTTCAAGATCTTTATTGGTGTGAGCTTGAGGAATTAATAAATAGGGACTGCTTGACTCACCGCTAATGTGTCACGCAATTGTGTAGCTATCTTCCACTCTTTCTCGCTGAGCTTGAACTTGCGCAGGCCGAATTTGCGGTCCCCAGTGAAAACATCCAGAGCTTGCTGATACTTGATTGCGAAGTCCAACATGTCGAACGTGGAGTTCCACCGCGTCGATACGTCCCGAGGCATGACACGAGCCTTCAGTTCCAGCTCTTCAAGTAGCGCCTTCCAAGCAGGCAGTAATAGTGTGGATGAATGCACAATCCTGAATGCAAGTTTGCGAAGCTGCAAGGCACGTGTTCAACACATCAGTATGTCGTTCCATTATGTAATCTTGATTCCTTACCTTCACAAGCACAAGCTTAACAGGTCGCAGGTTCTTGTGGAGTTCCTCTCGCTCATGAGCCGTCAGGTTTGTGCTCTCATCAACCCACCCTTCAATGTTGTCTATGTCAGTGTCCTCTGGATTGCCCTCACCTCGTTCGGCAATGGTGTATCCATCATCGTTATCGGTACCTTTCGCCAACTCTTGCAAGAGTCGTTCTTCCTCATCCATGTCATCTTCCAGGACGTCCATTGCTTCAGGTGCCTCGTCATCCAATCGAGCCTGCTCTTTTTTAGGTACGTCAAACAGTTTGATGATGGACTTCGCAATGAGATTGACAATATGTAGAAAACAACGTGTTCGGCTCAGTGCGCCACCGAACGAATCCATGCACTTGGCAAGTTCTGTTGTCAGCATGTCATTAGAGCTTGCATTGTCGCCCATCAAACTCAACATCTTCCCACTTGGTAAGTACTGTACTAGAAGCTATGTGTCCCCACTCACCTTATCCGCTATACCAAACTCTTTCAGGATTTTTTCAAACGCTGCTGCAAGATTCTCGCCGGAGTGAGACTGAATCCTGGACCATTAGTGATTTTTCAGGGTACGTATGGTATTTACTTGCCTCGGCCACCTCCACTATATCTAGTATCATCGCTAATGGTTTTCCTTCATGCTCTAGATGCACGGACACGGCTATGAATGCCTTGTGGTTTGGAGACGTCCACGCATTGGTGGCGAAGTTCAATTGGCCATCGTATTCCTGGTAAGCAATAGTTAGATTTATTTTTATATATAGGTATGCTACTAAACTTGCAACATCTTAGCAATCCGCTGTCGCGTGCGAGCAAACACCAACTGGACGTCATGTGAGACGGTCGATGGAGAAGGTATGTAATATTCCGGTCGACCTGTTTTCATTAGTGACTGAAAGCCGCGATCCTTTACAATGGTGAATGGCCGCAGGCTCTCAGATACCCATCAGACAATCTCGGCTCTGTTGCCATCATTAACCTTGATGTTGATACCATTACAGCGAAGGTACGTACTTCGTTTCTGTTCTTGTGTGTTACTGGTGTGAATATATGACCTTGCCTTTCCCCTTGCATTCAAATGATGCCACGATAGACCCGTTTTTCGCCCCGGAGATTATGGTACGTGCCTCATTAGCATTCTTGGCTTCATCAGCCATGTTAATGGACTCTTCTCCCCAGCACAACTTTGCATGCTTTCGCATGTTACTCGTGGACTTTGCATCCTTCTTATCGAGGTAACGGCGCACCCCTTTCTTGCAGCTCGTAGCTGCACACTTGAATTCATGGTAGCGGCGGCCTTCGTGATAACCAATGTCTGGGACTGGGTGGTAGAACGCATAAATAGGTGAGTTCCATTCTTTTTTCAAGCGCTCTACTCATTTGAGTTAATATACAACAGTGTCTGTTATGAATCGAGTCTTACCGAGTTCACTATCCGAGCTTTCATCCTCGTCTTCCAGAATGACCTCCACAACATCTTCGTCACTGTGAAGAGCTTCTTCTTCCTCGGTCCGTACAAATGCTCGACGGCTCATTGTAGCTTTGGCCGCAGTAGGTGTCGAAGTAGGTGTTCTATCTTCATGGACATTTTTACCCTGGCTAACCATAGGAACTATTGAAGGAGAGTCCGAGTCTTCGGTATCTGACACCACAGTTGTGGGACGTTTCCCAGACTTTCCAGAGGTGAGCTCATGACTTGCTTTTCGCTTGATGATCTTTTTGACATTTGAGAAGAACTCACGCGCCTTCTCGGTAGGCTTGCGCTGTCGCTTGTCGGCCATTGATGCGGAGATTGTGTTGTGTAGAAGCACTGCTTAGAATAGAAGGATTCTGGGTGTAAAATTTAGTTTAAAGTTTTAAATGATGTACTACCATATATAGTGATAACTGTACAGTTCAATAAGCTTCGACTGATGCCAAGATACCCACCACAATAAGCTTCAACTGATGCCAAGATACCCACCAACCCATGCCTATGGGTATGGGTATCTGGTGGGTCAGCAAGCTGAGACCCCTACCCAACCCACAGGTACCCATACCCACGACCCACGTGGGTTTGCAAAACCCATGACATTGCCTAATGATGCCTGCACAGAGAACGGCCGCACATGTAACAACAGTGGATGGGAAGACATTTGCTTGCGCTGATACGTGTATTATCTCGCCTACTAAATAACTTGCTTTACATAGTAACTAGCACTGTATGAATTGACTACTTTGATGACCCAATTGGCGGTAACATCACCCACAAACTGGCGAACGCAACCAGGTATTTTATTAAATACGAGTTATTGGCTAAAATCGTGTTGCTGCGATTAGCGATGTTGTCCGCATCTCACGTGCTAGTTTGCAGGCGCCGAACAGACCTGTGGCTTTGTTTCTATTCTTTGGTCCTACTGGTGTTGGCAAGGTAAATTGCGTGTTTGGCCTCGCCTGCCACATCATTCTGATTTTATGAACCCTTAGATCCTTAGACAGAGTTAGTAAAGGCACTAGCTGGGTTTCTTTTCAACGACGAGCAGGGAGAACTGTAAGTCCTGTCCAGAATATTCATTCGACATTATACTGAACTCATGCAAATTGGCTAGTGTTAATATCAACATGTCCGAGGTTGGTGGTCCAAAATTTTCCTTTCGCTGTTCTACATCACTTGCTCATGTAAATTCACAGTACCATGACTGACACAATCTCGAGCCTGACTCATTGGAGTCGCTCCAGGTTCTGTCAGGTTTGAAGAAGGCGGCTGGTTGTTCTCTCATATGCCATCTAGCCTCATCCCTTGTGTGTAGGTTAGTTGACGGAAGCTGCTCGACGCAAAACGTATGGTAAGTTATTCCAGTCCTAGTACCTAATGCTTAACCCACAGCGGTCATCCTTCTACAAATACTCGACAAAGGTAACATCACTGACAGTCAGGGCAGAAAAGCTATGTATTTCATTGTCAATGAAGTATGGCACACTCAATCCATTCGGTCTCACAAGCAATCTCGGAAGCAATATATTAGGTCACAGTTCATCCTGTCGTGGTCTCGTCACGGAGGAGGCCAAGAATCTTGTCATGAAACATACGATGGCTCCCCCTGAACTTTTCAATCGCCCTAACCAAATACTTGTTTTTAACAAGTTGTCTCGCCAAGCAATTCTAGATGTTGTGGCACTGAGGCTGAAAGACGTTGCCTCATGGTTAAGGGATAGAAGGATTGCATTCAATATCAACGCAGAAGCTTGCAACTGGCTTGTCGAGAAGGGTTATTCTGATATCGATGGCACCTGCGCGGTCGCTCGTGTCATGCATACTCATGTGCTGTTGAGGGGGACAATCAGGTACGAAGACTATTTGTTTTCCAATTTTTCCGCATGTGCTGATGATATTCAACAGAAATGATGTCGTCTGCATCACGGTCTCTGAGAGTGATTCTCTAAGGACAGTCACCCCTCCTGACTCCAGAATTGTATTGAGAGAGGGTCATGATTAAAATATGGTTTCACACCAGATAATGTCAAGCACCACCCAGTTCTGTATCATGTATCATGCTAACTTGAGCAATAGGAAAACTAGAACGATGGCTAAAGTCTACACACACATCAAAACAGATAAAGTTCTGAGCACTGAGAACGGTGAGTCGAAAGAAGAGACACGTCAAGATCCTTAGTTTCTTCTCCATGACGAAAGGCTAAGTGTGCCTATAACGCCCATGACCAGCAATGCTGTGCCCGCACCCACCAGGCTGGGAACATACAGGTACCACACGCTATCGATGTCATCCTTGCCCTTGACCTCGTCCATGAAGATCAGCTCTTCTTTCTTCTGTCTTCTTCGACGCGGGATGATCTCTTGTTCTGAGTAAAGCGAATCCTCTCCAGAATAGATACTCCGAGGCAGAAGGATGAATTTCTATAGATGGCATCTCAAGTTCATGGGTACTTCCAAGGTTATGCCGGCCAATGCCTTCATCAGGAAAGACAGGAATGTCAAGATTGGGCTGCAGAGTGCGAGCACGCTTGAAGTATCGACCTGCAGCTTCCCTATCACGTTTCCAAGCTTCTGTGCCGCCTTCTCCAGGCTGTGGCTGTGGCGGCATCCTAATGGGCGACAGTGTAGAATAAGATGCTGACAGGAAAACAGAAGCCGCTCCTTCGAGATGAAGAAGACCAGCCTCCAAGAGGAGCTTGGCCAGGCCCGCCGGGCCGCCAATGGACTGACCATAATATGAGACGGTTCCACGTTGGCCTTCTTCAGATGCATCAAGGTGGTCCATGATGTTTGGATAGGTAGATAGTGAGTCACCAATTTCATTGTAGCAGAGGGAAGGTGGCCATGGTGCCACGCCCATCTGGATAGTCAGACAGGATAGTAGCTCTTGTGTATTTCTTTGTTACGTCTATAATGTAACGACAGAGCATTTTGAAATTCTGATCCTTACTGGATGAACACAGCTAATTCTGAGTCTACTTTTCTCAATGTCGCATTATTATGCCAGCACCGAGCCGAGTGTGTGCTTATACATATTAGATAACCGTGCTGAGTGGCTGAAGCCACTGTCGGTCATTTCCGTCGGGGTTTCAATTAAGTTTCATTCACTACTTAGGGAGCTAAACCTTCTTCCGTTCTGTTTTTTCCCTTTCTTTCATCACGTTGCACTTTGGTACCCCTGTTATATTGTGAATCGTGATCATGAACGTATGGACATTACGTCTATGTTTCATATGGACTTGTTTTTGAGTTAGACACTCGTGTCAGCTTGCTGGATACAATTTCCAAAGTCAAGATATGACCGGATATGGTACACTTTTCGTCAGAGCTTTATTTTCAGTCTGGTTCACTACTTACGGGCGCAGGTGTCAGTTGTCCCTCAACCGATGTAAGTGATGTCACTATTGCTGTTACACTTTGCACTCATTTGACCACTAGCTGTACATATTCCTTCCAGAATCCAAGCCTCTTTTTCAGTATCATGATGTGCTTTCACCATCAGGGAACTTACTGATATATATTCCTAGATACTCACATGATGAGCACGTCAACATCTGTCATTGGCACGGTCAGCACATCGAGTGCATTTCCTATCCGTCGTCCCCAGCCACGAATGGACATCCTGCTAGACAGAGATCTCACTGGCAACGTACTATGGGAAGAAGACCACTCTGTTCCTTCCATTATGGATGTCCTTATCCCGATATCAAGTCTCAGCATGTCACACATTCAAAAAATAGCATACTCGAACGGACAGCCTATATTTACTAGTCGCCCTAGTAATAAGTGGGTTCTTGAGAATGATGAAAAGAAGCAGACAAAAAGGAAGAAGAAGGTGGCTCGCAATGACGTGGATGAACTTACGGAGTCTTCAACAATGTCGATCATGCCTGACAACGGCGAAGAAACCTGGAGCGCTCGAGCATATCGCCCTAACAAGGAGGCGAAGAAAGCCCCGCCCCGTAAACGCTCGACAGAGCAACAATGGGCGGGTCTTTTCAATACCGTCTATATATCCATGCACTCATTATACAAGGCCACGTTCAGCACAATCCCTCAGTGCTCTAGTGACTTTCCTTTCTTGCCCGAGGCTGGCAACAGACGTCCGCATCGATGGTGGTCAGCAGAGTTTTCCACTTCTGCGATTCCGGACGAGACCAATGCCCAGAAGCCTGACATAGTCCTTATTAATCACAAGGTTCAAGCGAAAAGTTGGGCACACGTCCTCACATGCATTGAGCTCACCGTCAGTGATCTTGGCACTACACGCGACCTAGCATTGTTCAAGGGGGCGGTCACCAAAGGGTACCTCATGATACGAGAACAACCTTGGCGTCGCTTCATTGTCCTTTTCAGTATCGCAGTGTGGCAACTTCGCGCCCATTATATAGACCGCTCAGGTCTCATCATCACCCGTCCCATATCAATCATCGATCAACCGGTGCGTCTCGTCAATACGTTAAACACCTTGTCGCTCGTGAACTGCCAAGCCCATGGCATGGATCCTACCATTCACTTGTGTGACGATATTTGCAAGGGTCAACACAGTGACCTAGCGAACAGAGCGATAGGTTGGGTAGAGGACAAGCGGAAGGACATATTATTGATCATGGCTATTCTGTGGAGAAGCCAGGGTCTGTTCTCTCGTGGCACTATCTGCTATCGCATTCAAAATGGCAAGGGGGACGAGTATGCATTAAAGGACTGTTGGGTTGACGAAGATAAGAAAAATCACGAGGAAGACGTTCTTAATCACGTCCAGGGCATTCCAAATGTAGTCACTCTCATAGAAGCTTGGGACGTCGAATACCAGAATGAGCCTGACTCTACATTATGCATTCGTGATCATCATGGGGCATCTAGAAGTATTGCTTTCCGTTGTAAGTTTCACTGGCGGATGCTTTTGTATCCCTGCGGAGAGCCACTAAGGAAATTCACCTCAAAAAGAGAGCTACTGCTAGCTTTTCATGACTTTGTAATCGGCGAGTTTCCTTTAGTGTTTGAATTTGAAAATTTATGCTGACACTTTCTCTTCAGCACACGAGACAATGCTCACCGTACATGTCCTACACAGAGACCTCAGCCCCAACAACTTCATTATTCACAAAGGAAGCGGTTACTTCATTGATTTCGACCACGCCCAAATCATATTGCCAGGCAATACTAGTGTTCGTTCACGGGGTACTGTAAGTTTAAATTGGGGATCAATGTGATAGCAGTCACTAATGTGATTGTCCGAAGGGTACCCTGCCTTACATGTCTATCCGCCTACTTACTGCATGTGCAGAAAAGGAGAAGACCCAAGGAACTGTGACGATCGAACATTGCCCCAGCGATGATATCAAGTCACTCTTTTACATTTTTGTCGAATTCATTTCCACGTATGATGGACCGCAGGGCTACATATCGAACTCAAAGGTGGAACGATGGGCTGAGACCCTTGAGGATATGGGCCACAGGGCTGGTCCATATAAGTCAGGTTTGGTACTCATCACACGCCATGACAAACAGTTGATGAACAGAACAACACAATACTTCGGCGGCATCAGGGATCTCGTTCAGGAGTGGCACCTCAAATTTTTTTACACAGCAGAAGAGCAGACCACCATTACTCACTTGGAGATCCTGGAGCTCATAAAGAAGTGGATCTCTCATGAAGCCGTTGATGAGCCCCTTCCTCCAACCCAAGAAGCTGATCTTTCGAGCACAACCCACCCTCGTCGTTCGACCCGGAAGGTCATCCCGGTAAAGAGAGCATAATACTTGCAGATTATTGTTGTAGTTCTTCATATCTGCCTTTATCACTTGTATAATGGATGTGCTACTACTATGTACTACCCGCTGAAGGTATCACCTGTCGGAGTATCATTTTCAGAACCTTGTTTTATGTTGCCAGATATAATTTGGGATGTCAACACAAATTAATGTGCAACCTTGTCGTGCGTGTTGTTGTACTGGATACGCACGGTTAAATATACGATAATGATGGCATATCCTAACAAATTTCCCACTCAGTATCATGCCCAAAGTGTCCAGAATGCCTTCCTGCTGGCGATATTGCCGCCACTTCAAGCCACTTACCATTCACTGCGAGTTTCCTCCCGAATGCGCGTGCACTCCCCCCCCTTGACACAGCATACCGTTTTTTCTCGGGACACAGACACGTCGATACCTGGCGCTGACACTGACATTGCCCAACCTATGCCCCCTGCTGTTCAGTTTGCTGAACAATCACCCATTACGAAGATTCCAAAGCCGCATGGAGAAGTCTCCCATATCAATCGTGGAGGATACAACTTACAAGAGAAACTCGGTTGGTCTCCTTTGGAGTACGAAGAAATTCGTGTAAGTGACCTCAGCAACCCTACAGACTTTTCCCCTATGATTGATTGACTTTCTAGAATTTCGTCACACATCTTGCCAACGAATATCTCAAAGTCAACAAGACGTGGAGGAGACAAGCGCAGTGTAGTTTGACTGTTGTATATACAGAGGTAGGTATGCGGTCTTGTCTACAGTGCTTGTGATCTAACTCAGTCAGGCAAAGAAACGGTATCCAATACTTGGAGACTATCAAGGAGATTGGGCTGTTGGTGATATGCTACGTATCTATTTGAAAAATAGTTCTAGTCGCAGTACTTAGGCATTGGTAGTACCAGCAGAAAACCTTTAAATGGTCCAACTATGTAAGGATGGAACATTGGATCCCGCGCTAGCATCAAACCTTACCATCTATTAAATGTGTGGGTGCAGAGGAAACTAACCAAACGGTTTGGATAGAGCGCAAGGTCAATGTGGGGGTACCGGAATGACACAATTGGAAAGAAAATGGAGAATAGGTGTTGCGAAGTTAAGGAGAAACGACTCGTGCCTAATCACCTAAATAGGCACCCCATGATTTGTATTACAGAAGTAATATCAAAAGTAATCAATTACCTATCTCAATCAGTACTGCAACAGTGAGCGGATATCCTTGTCAAAGCTGGGTCTGGTATTTCCCTATCAGACTTGTGTATATATACACACACTACTACTATAGTATAGTATAAATGATTTACATGTCACCGTTGCTTATCTTCAGCTGAAAAGGCTTGTCTGGACAAGAAAATATCACTCCAAGCTTCTCGGATGTATCACTCAGGTGTCTAGCCTGAAGTTCAACGCATTCCAGCCCGTGGAATGCATTGAGCCAAGGACGACAGTGAACCTATGCGAGAGTGAGCACTGATAGCTGCACATAAAAGGGAACTAACCATCAGATCGTCTGGATCAGGACCATACACAGCAATATTCAAGTACTTTGCATGTACAATGCGGTGTTCCTCGAACAGGACATCAAAGCAGTTGGCAGCATGAGAAGCATCAAAAAAGCTCAACTGCAGTGCCTGGATAGTGGTGAAGTGTTGAGTAATGTCCAAGATGGCGGACAAGTAGTTGGGGATAAAATTTTCCTTGAACCATAGACTGAGGCGTCATATATAGGGGGCTGGATACACTGAGGTCAAGAGGGAAGCAATGTACCAAAGCGGACCACCAAAGACACTCAGGTCTAGGGTACTTTGGCTCTGATGCGACATCTGGCTTCGCAACTTCTGTGAAGAATGCTTCTGTTGCAATATCGGGGGGGAAAGAGTCTGTCCTGGATGAATCCAGACTTGTGTAACATTTTGATGGCAGGCCAAAAAACCAGCAAGGACAGCGGGGGGACATTCGATGTCAATGGTCAACATTTGAAGGAGTGGGAGGTGAACGTTCAGCAGTAGCATGGCCCACTGAATGCCACTCAAGGCAGTGTTAGTGAGTGAGAGGTCGCTTAGGGGAGAATCTCGCAAGGTTGCGAGAGTGAATGAGGCGACGCGTGGGGAAAAAAACATGGGCGAGTCTGCTGAAAACCGCCGGAGACTACACTTTGCACCTGTATCTAATCCAAGTATGGGAGCAGGTACGACCATACATGAGTGCTTTGAATCTCTGCTCGAATATCTGAAGCTGGAGCAGCCCAAATCCTTGATGAGCTGAAATAAAGATGCGAGATCTACTTCTGGAGGTGCATCGGAGCACATAACTGACGACATGGGCTTGCTCTGAATGCCCTTCAAAAACTCCAAGAAAGTCTGGAGTGCTGTCAGATCACGATCAACAGTGCCATGGAGATCGCAATGCAGAAAGCGAGGTACACAGAAAGAAGTTGTTCGTGTGTACAACAGCAGGGCTAGGCAACTTTGGGCGTTGACCCGCAACCATGTCTGCTCGACATGTAAGCCCACGGCCTGAAAATACAAGGGTGCGGCAAGGTCCTTCGAGAGGACAGACACTTGTGTGATAGACATGAGGTCTATCGCAGGCAGATATCCGAAGATAATCAATAAGAGTTCATTTGGAAAGGGCCACCAACACAAAAGTGGTATGGGGGAAATGGTTCGTCCGTTCAAGGTTGCTGCACGAGAGTGTGTCCTCTGAGAAAGACAATATGAATCAAGGAAATCCAGAGTTTCGGGGTTGACTTACGTGTGAAAGTATGAGGTCTGTGGTGCGCTCCGCAGTCATTGAGTAAGTCTGAAAACGAGCATAAGACATATGCAAAAGACTAATGAAAGGTTGGATTCACAGTAAGGTTAGCATTTGCACATGTACGTGATAAAGCATGCTTTTTGAAACTGGGAGGGAGAGAACCTTCAGGTGCGCTGCCTTCCGTTTTGCATTTTGAACGCTCTTGAGGGAATATACGCAGCATGTCTGCAGTCGTTGAACGAGCCTGCAAACTAGCGTGAGGCGTGTGCGAAAGACTGATGAAATGCTAAACTCACGGTAAGGTCAGACATAGCATATGAACGTGCAAGAGTGCGCCTTTTGAAACTTGGAGGTAGAGAACCTTCAGGTGCGCTGCCTTCTGTTTTGCGTTTTGAACGCTCTTGAGGGAATATACGCAGCATGTCTGCAGTCATTGAATGAGCCTGCAAACTAGCGTGAGGCATATGCAAAAGACTGGCGAGATGCTACACTCACAGTAAGGTCAGACATAGCATACTTCTGAGAAAGTGACATAGAACTATCAGGAGCGTCATCTATGACCTTCCGCTGTGAGATCAATGAATCCAACGATAATTTGGTTTCGGTCTTCGCATGTAAAATGACGCGCATGGGTGTGACAGAGTACATCATGGCTGGAGGTGTGAGAATGATAGTGTACAACGCAAGTTATACGACATATTTATTACCAGGCAGTTCACGATTTGAACAATTAGACCTGCCCACACTCAAGCAAATGGATGCAATATGTTGTGAAGGTACTGCTAAGGATATTAAGTTGAGCAGTTAAACAATAATGTAATAGACTGACTCACCATGCTAAGCTCCTACATAGCAAACCAAGGGAGATGAGAGCACTTTGGATCGACCCGCTTTGAGAAGTCAAACAATAGTTGATCCCTGGAGCATCGTCAACGCGGAAGGCTAGACTTTGCAAGTTAACACGCCTGAAGCCAATTCAAAGGCCGACTTGCTCCTACCAAATGAAATGGGAGCACTCGTGATCGTGGTCAATCTGCTTTGGGAGGTCAAACAATAGTTAATCCCTGAAGGATTAATACATGAAGGCTAGACCTTGCTAACGTGCCCGAAGCCGATTCACCAATGGAGTACTTGGGATCAATCTTATTCGAGAAGAGAAAGAGTAGTTGAACTCAAATCAGGCCCCCCACAATGGTGTTGTCAGTTACTACGAACATTAAATTATCTTGTATTCGGCGTGAATATCGTACCATAAGATTCGAGCCCCACAGACAATCAAGCCCTGCTTGTTACAGGCATCCGTAACACCTACAGGAGCCCCTGCTCTGCCTACGCCTGCCCCCGCTCTGCTAGACTCCCCGCGCGGCGGTGCGCCGCCCACGCCTAGAAAGACAGTGGTCTGGACCGCTGTGACGCCGCCCCTGGCGCTATGACCCGCCCCTGGCCTAGACGGCCTTGTACCTGATCCATGGAGGCTGTACGCCTCATGGTCACCCTAGATCAGTGCATGCATACCGCATGTCGCTTCATGAAGATCCGGAGCGCTCTTGGCGCTTCCTGTACCTATGCGCAGTCGCACTTGGCGCTGCATGCTTGATCAGAGGTTAAGCCTCATGTATCTGATCTGACCTCATGTCTTGTTATCATAGATCCTAGATATACTATAGATTACAGACTGAGCTAGAATACCTATATGTAGCACATATAAGTAGACAGATTATTGTACTTAGACTTTACTTTAATCTACTAGGTTCATCCCAGAACTTGTTCAACTAAGCCTTACCAGCTTCCTTGCATAAGACCGCACTTCTAAGTCGCCCCCATATGACTTAGCACGTATCCACTAGCCCTGTATCTCGACAAGCGCTGTCTTACCGAGATCACCGGAGGAACCCTTGACGTTCCGTCAAGCCGAGAACCACCCTCAGCTTCAGTAGGCTCACTCGAGCCGTCGCTGAGAAGACCTATCCTAGTTCACACACGCCGACCGACGGTCAGCGTAACACTGCTCGCATGTGCAGCCTATAACGACCGAGTACCATAACTGTTTCAATTCTCACTGATGCTGTGAATGTCTAGAGTGAACACATAGTTCCTGTTGTCATTTCCATGGAACCCACGACTGCATCAATTATACTCACCTCACCATACATAGGAGAAATATAAGACATCGCGTTAAATAGTGAATGGAATAACAAAATCTGCCGGAAGGAGTGACTGATCGGTCCACCAAGACGAACAAGGCAGATGAGAATACAAGGATGTGGGTGATGATTCATCTTAGCCAGGGCAAGACGCAAGAGATACGATAAGAGACAAGGTCGAGATGGGGATTGAACGAACGAGATGTTGTGTAGATAGTGACCGTGTTTACTATGTTCACTATAAAACTGACTCAACGGTGAGTACCATGCGAGTGTATCCGCATATTGTCACCCTCAATGCAAAAAGACCAAGGATGTCAAAGGAAAGGCGGGAGACAGGGGTAAGCTGCACACAATCTAACATGCCTATTGTTAATAAGCAGAGAAATAGGAGAACGAGGACCTCGCCAGAAGAATTTTCCTATTAACACTGGAAAATAGGACACAAGACGGGCGCGATACCGAGGCGATAAATGTCGACAGCAGGTCGACATTATATGATACAGTTATAGCTGCAAGGAAACATTCAGCAGGAAATCAAGATCAAGTATCGGAGGATTACGACCGACTTTACCTCCTCGATGTTGAGCTGCATGCTCGTCTTAAAACCGTCACAGATGCCGTAAACCATCTTGAATCGGCTGATGGGCAACAAATCCTAGTACTGCTTGCTGAAAATCACAATTGGATGAAGAACGTGCTGGAGGAAGTGAAAGATATGGAAGTAAGCAGTGATGCCTGTAACGAGGAATTTCAACATGCGTTTCTTGGATCATTACAGGAGATGGAGGACGCAGTGAAGAGTATCATGGATGTGATTGGTTATAGAACGCAGGACGACCTGAATAGTGTATCAGCAACCGTCAACACAGGCGAGATATTCGATTTAAACAAGGAATACATACTGAATTATATGCAGAACTTGATTTCAAACGAAGATTTCACAATGCCAGTCCTGCCATACTCCTAACAATGGTTATCGCAATAATCTTGAATGTTTTCGGACATGTTACTAGACCATGGTGTAATGCAGTGCTCAGGCTTCTGAACCTCCTGCTGGAGACTACGCTTGGAAAATCCACTGGTCCCACCATCCCCTGTGATATCCGAACGGTCCGGAAAAAATTCAATCTAGATCCAGTTACTCAGATTTTCGCTGCTTGCACGAGATGCTCGTGCACTTACCCGCCCACGACAACAGGAAAGAAATCACCATACCCCGAGCGATGCACCCAACGGAAGTACTGGGGTAGCAAGCCATGTGGGCAGTTGCTGGCAAAATGTACAAAGCACCAAGGGCAAAAATCATGGGTACCCATGCGCCCATATGTCGTTCAAGATTTCAACGCTTTCCTTGGCAGCTTGCTCATTAGGCCGGGAATAGAAAAGGCAATGGACCACAGGACCATGCTAAACGAGAAATATCAGATGTGGGATATAAAGGATGGCACAGTCATCCAGGAGATCTTGGGTCCTGACGGCAAATCATTCATGGATGGGCTGAAGAGACAGGACCTAAGATTAGCATGGAGTCCTTCAGTAGACTGGTTCAATCCTCACGGCAATAAGACCTCTGGCAAGAAGAAATCAGTGGGGTCGATCGCAGTGGCACTACTGAACCTCCCACCTAGTCTGCGATACAAACCTGAAAATATATACTTGGTTGGTGTTATCCCAGGACCGCGAGAACCAGCTCTTGATGACATAAATCATTTTCTTTGCCCAGTGGTCGACACTTTCCTACCATCATGGAAAGATGGGACATGGTTCACCAGAACGCTTCAGCATACCGAAGGAAGACGCTCGAGGTCTGTCATCGCAGTCGCGATCAATGATCTACCAGCCGCTTGCAAACTCGCAGGGTGCGCGGGACCTACTGCGAATCAGATGTGCGGAATTTGCTGGCAGACAAAGTCACAGATCGCCAACTTCGACTATGACACATGGAAGCGACGTACGTGCGAGGAACACAGAGCAGCTGCAGAAGAATGGAGAAATGCGGAAATGAAGTCAGAACGTGATATAGTCTTCAAGAAACATGGAGTAAGGTGGTCGGAACTTCTGCGACTGCCGTATTGGGATCCAGTGCAGTTCGTGGTCATCGATGGCATGCACAACCTCTTTCTCGGACTGGTGCAGCACCATTTCAGAGACTTGATCGTCATAGATAAACAGGCGATTAAGAAACCAGAAAAATGACCTGTGGATGTAAAGGAAATAGACAGGGGCAGAATCATTTTTCAGTCAAACCCTACCATCTCTACAATGACCCGCTTGTGGATGCCTGTCCTGGAAGTTCTGATCCAAGAGGCAGGGGTGACGTTGGGAACAGAGGGTCGTACCACGAAGAAGAAGATAATCAAAGTGCTTATGGTGCGTTGTGCATTTCTAAACTCTTGGAATCACCATTGACAAATCAATGAATAGACCAAACACACTCATAGTTTCCTACTGAATAAGGAAGCTCAGATGGAAATAGATGACGACGCTTTCATCACAGAAGAATTGGTCGAGGAGTGTGCGACCGAAGCAGAAGCAAAAAACGACCAAAACAGTGTATCTGCTGAAGTCCTGACAGACAAGGAGATAAACAGTATTCAGGCAGAACTGAGGGGCATACAGCATCCTTCATGGCACTGCAGACCACCAAAGAACCTGGGTGATGCAGAGCACGGTAAGCTCAAGGCAGAGCAATGGCGGTCAGCCATTGAGTTTGACTTACCAGTGACGCTGGTAAAACTCTGGGGGACAGAGTATATGAAAGCTGGTCATGGAGACCGGAAGCAAAAGTTAGCTCACAGCACTATGCTGCTGTCGATGGCAATACACTGGGGAACGTCACATGTAACATCAATGCACCACACTCAGCAATACATGAAATATATGAAGGCCTACCTAGAGTGCATTCAAGACGCCATTCCAGGCCATTCTTTCCGACCTAACCACCACGCCTGTCTCCACCTTCACAGGTTCCTCCTGAGATACGGTCCCATGCACAGCTGGTGGATGTTTCCCTTTGAGAGAGTAATCGGAGGCCTGCAGAAGACCAACACGAACTATAAAATTGGTGAGTATATTGAATCGAAATAGAAGACTGATGAATAATGTTATACAGGGGAATTAGAGAAGACAATGTTAGAAACATTCTGCGCTGCTGCAAAGGTCAAGGCAATCATTCAAGACCCTGGAGCACCCAATGTTATTATCAAAGCAGCTGAAATCCTGCAGCAATGTTGCGCACCTTTTGCAGGCAAAGGATTTCATACAGACACTGGCATCCTGCGCACAGTGACAGACTCAGATCTGTATGTTTCACATGATAATGCTAATATCATCAAAACTCCTATTTCTGATGTCCTCCGCTACACATGGGAGAACACGAGGACTCACATGCACGGAAGCGAGCCCATCACAGAGTATAAACGACTCAATGTGGCAGGGTTGCAATATTGCAGTCGCAACTATTCAACTTCGGATAGTTGCGTGTTCTTCAAGAACACATCAGGAAACTGTGTGCCTGGCATCATTGAACACATGATGTCTATAGGACAGGATCACAATTGGGTATATTACATCGCAGTGCGATGTTACTTACCTGTTATCGCGGGCTACCAAGACCCATTTTCAGCATACGGTGACTTTGGCGCACAGATATGGAGCTGCACCTCCAGCGACCAGCTGGAAATTGTCCCGGTGTGCGGAAGTCGAATGTGCCACGGTATATCGATGAATTGGGGATCATCTGAATTAGTGCTAAAACCGATGAACCGCGTAAGTTTCGACATAATTCACCACTGATAATAAATACTGACTTACTTCAAAGGACTTTGGTGCATGACGATTTGCCGGCTGAGCAAGTTCGGCAGGATAAAGATATATATTGTGGACAATATGCACATACTGAATTTGTCACCTTGCTCGTAGTTGTGATTATATGACAATACATAACTCTTAAGACATCCTAATTGCACTAACTACAATGTCATGAAATATCAGGGAAAGTTCTGACAAAACGCCTGAATGAAAAGCATGCATGGCAATATTTACAACCACACAGATAATCGCGAATCGCAAAAGTTGCATGGTAGGGGAAGACACTACAGAAGGCAAGGAAGGTGCTGAGTTGTCTTCCACACATGCCTGATGCTAATTAGATGTCGCCACAAAATATATTCAAGCCACGAACCAATTCGTCCTCCTCCCAAACCTTAACACTACTGTGCCCATTGAAGCAGCTGCCAGTAACAACGGTGCAACCAGCACACCCCTCGTGCGACTAATTCTTATTGTTAGTATATTAAATATATGCGAAGTTAGAATGACTTACGGTCACAGGAATAATCTGATCGCTCGGATTGCCGTGTTCTAACTGCCCTCGAAATGCCCCTGTACTATAATTGAATATACGAGTGAAACCATCATCACCCCCAATGAAGATCAGCCCCGCCTGTCGCGCAACTGAAATCTGCAAAGGAACATTGCGAATGATGACGTGACTATAAGACTGGACGTGCTGGAGGGTAGGAACCATGTATTTGTCCACCCTGTCTTTGAGATTGCTCATGAGCAGAAAATTGCCCTCGAGTGCAGTATTGCCACTACAGGTTACAGGTCAACAGTCATGTGCGCAGAACGATACTCCACTTACATTCTTCCTTGCACTTTCTTGCGCCACTTTAAATCCCAGGGTTCAACAGAATAGCAGAATCTACAGAGAGGGGGGTCAGGGCGAGATCAAGAATGAAATGCTAAACTAACACTTCACTGCTTTCCAGGAATGATACTAGCAATGATGCCCCATTATCGTAAAAGTGTACCGTGCGCGCAATGTACGGCTGCTTGTCGAGCTGTGAGGTAATGGTCTTGAGGGTTCCTGGCAAAAATTGTAAACAAACCCTACGTCATGATATAATTGACAAGTAGCCAGCCCACTTACTGTCTGAAGTGAAATTCCATACATGCGGGTGACCATCACCGGCGCTCGCCAGCCGACAATGGACAGGATCCCAGGCAAGCGACTCCACCGCACCTGTGTGACCGGGCGTGATGCTCTGGAATTGAAATAGTACCTTATGGTCGACAATTGATGATTGTTAGCAGGGTACACACAGCTACCCAAAGTTGTATGTACATTATCGATCCGTTCATACACTTGGATATTACCATCCGAAGCCCCGAATGCGAAGGTTGTTTCTCCTCGGTCGTCAACGTCCATCCAAGTGATGGCACTAATAAAACCTGAAGCCGGTGCGAAGATTTCTTGAATCATTTCACCCGATGCAAGACTCCATACAACTATTCGATTATCATTGCCTATACCCACTATCAGCACAATCCAAATGAGAAATCACCTGGTTACCTCCGGTTAGAAGCAATGCTCTATGCATGCTCACAGCCAATACATTGACTGCTTTAGTGTGGCGAGTGAGTGTGTATTTGCTAGAAAACTAGCATGGTGTCAATGAGAACTCGACTAAAGTTAGACCACCTACGTCCATGATCGATAATGGGAGACTTGGGAGAACAGAGTCTCATCTTTATGCTCGCCAGCAGTCAAATTAATCACCATAACAGGCCTTAATGACATTGTTACCATGGACACTTGAATATAGGTTTGATCGAGGAAGTACAATTACGATGATAGCGCTGTCACTAATTGTCTTTAAGTTGCCCGTGAAATCAATAAGAATGACGAAGTCAGAAGCTTAACGATACCTCTCATGGCATTCAACTTACCTACCCACAGATTCAGTGCTTTCAGGCCATGGTACAATCTGTATCGCAGGCCACCACCACACTCCCTCAGGGAATCCTTGAAGGCATACAAAATACAAGAAATAGAATGGAGTATCAAGGTATCAAATGAATCCTTTGAACATGAACTTCAGCAACACGAAAGCCACGACGTGAATAAATCAATTACCCATAATTCCTGCCCACTGAATATTTTCAGGCGTTGATGGGATCTGCCATGGATCTCTACCTGCCCATCGCCGCAGGTAGTAGCACGTATGGCTGCGTGGACACCACTATGGAAAATGACGAAGTTAGTGAGACCTCATTGCTATTTCAACACCGGAACTTACGTCTTCACAGGAAGTTGAACTTCTGAGCATAGTTTCAGTAACAAATATCTGGGGTGATGCTGGATGGTCTCGGTACCAGTTGCCGAAGAAGGAAAAACTCGTTCGCGGCCTGCACAAAGGCATAAATAAGTACATCGATCGCCACTGCAAGAAGCATGCGAAAACTGACCGTTTACACGAGCGCATGTACATCATGCTCCGAGCTGCACTGGTTGATGTGGATATTGACAAGATCATGCTCGCTAAGAAACGGGCAGAGCAATCTCAGAACGACCTCATCTCACCTGCAGTAGCGGAATGCATTTTCAACAGAGTGGACAATTTCGTCTCCGAGAGAGTGAAACATGGCTTCTTATTCCTTGGAGCTGCACCGACCATGAAATTATCAGCGTCAAGCGCTATGTACAATCAAAGTAAGTTGACAGACCTTCCAAAAGTTATGATTCCTAATTGTAACATTCAGCCACAATGCCCGGACACTTTGCCGACTGAATTTTCCAATGTTAAGATTAAAATAGTCCATGTACAAATTACGGATTAGCACAGAACATCAATTCAAAAGCCTTGTACTTACGCATTTGGTGTTGCGCAAGGCATCAAGTCAGAAGGACTATGATTCTAACATTAAGGCACTACAATAAAATTAAGACCATAGTCATCGCTATCGCTATTGTTAACACGACGGAATGAAAAGGAGTTCTGAACAAGATTTCGATCCTTAAGTAGTGAATGGCAGATTTAGACTCCACCGGAAATACCCGAAGTGGCTGAGTGGTTGAGCGGGCTGATGTGGAGCGGCTGCCGGATGTTTCCATTGGAGTTTTAATTGAGTCTCATTCACTACTTAGAACCGAAACCTTACTTTACTATCTTCCTTTCGTCTATTATTATAGTACTTTATTTTACAATTATAAGTCTTCCTTCATAGTCTTTGTAGTCATCATCGAGGTATTATTGTTTATGTATTACATTAGTACTTTACAATTACAAGTTAATTAATGTAGCCTTCCTTCATAGTCTCAGTAGTATTTGAAGTCTTGTTGTATATGTTATTGTTACAGGTGACATCATGACCTCGAACTCCCGCACTCACATTTGGTATAGAAATCTAGGCTTTTGTTTGTGTTTGCGCCCACTTGACGGCCTCTGATCGCATCCAGGAATCTGACCGATGAATTATGTCATCAAAGTGCATCCGCTCAAGGTTGCCCAAACGCCATCACTTACAGAAGGTAAGTCTTAGCATCTTCTCCATATTGTCCCCCTACTCAAGTCCAAAATGATCACAGTACCATACCGACCCCAGGCCTGATCACCCCGCTCAGCGGATCACTCATATGACTTGCGCACATTTTTAGGATTGTTGCCCGGATCCAACTCCTGGGCATATCCTTGTACATATTCGTAATTTTTCCTATCTCTGCCCACCCAACATAGCTGCACTCTGTCCTCTCACCCGATTTCAAACAGAGTTTAAATTTATTACTTATCTGATAATGCGACATATCTATTATTTATATATGAATATGCATTGGGCACATATACCCATTATTTTCATTATTTCATTATAAATCTGACAATAAAACAAACTGATGCCGACAAATTGAGCATTTTAGTTCATGCATATTCCCCATTTGATTATGAATCTGAGTGGTAATCTAATTGTGAACATTATCAGACTTTGATCACGACTCTTGAGGCAACCTATATCCTTTTGCGTATTAAAAATTTGTTGTTCAATTTGAATAGGATCTGTCACATCCTCTTATTCGGCCGTGTCTCAGGTGCCAGCTTCTACTTCTCAGAACCTTCCTAGTAAGGTAAGTAGCTTTTCTCCGACTTGGAAACACCCACGGCGTGTGACTCGCGTCTGTTTGAAAAATTTGAATTTATTGACCTTCAAGCTTAATCGGTGAGGCTAGTCATGCGCGCTCTGTGCATATTATAATGCCTGACCGTCGTCTGTGCTTCCTTCGGCGCCTGGATTTCCCGGTCCCGGTCCTGGTGACTAGTGCTCATCACCGGTGCACCTCTCACCACATCAAAGACGGTTCAAGAGTTCTCCCCTGAATGGGTGGTGATGAAATTATTTAGTCGTGCGTTCCATTCTATCGCACGAGAAAATTCACATCTTTGTGTTCTAATGCCAGGATACCCTTGCCTCATTGACATAACGGATCTAACGAACCCAAGAGCAGCCTTCTCTGGTATCTGGTGTATAATTTTGGAACTCTGACGTTGCGGGGGATATTTATGGGAACAAGTCAAGAGACCGAGTCAAAAAGACTGCAACACAGGCGTTAATGCTAATCATCTTCAGAGGCGCTGGAGAATAGGGCTCGGTGAGAAATACAGATGTTACTAACATCGGTTATTAACATCAGTTATTAACCGGTTAATAACACCGAGGAAAGTCAGACGCACTTTTAGCCTGTTAATAATTGTTAACAATCATATGTTCAATACAAGAGCCTCCAGCTGCATCAGTCAACTACTAGTCATGTATAATCTAGTATTTAAATCTCGTTTAGAAACACTCTGAGTGACAAATGTCACAATTGTTACAGGTAACAGTCAAGCATTTAATCACAATATTTGCCCAGCTTTTTTCTTATCTGAAAATATGTCCGAGTCACCCACAACGGAGGAGTTTGTCAACACTCTCGACAAGCTTAATATTCTTCTCACCAACCTACCTTCCCAGCTTCCCTTGGCTGATAATTACTATGACTCCCAGTACCCCTCCTTTCTACAATTTTCCTTGGATCCTGATATACTTGAGAATAGTGATGTTCCGGCCCGGCTTCAAGCCCCGGGCCAGCCAAAGCCGGGCCAGATTGAGCCAGGCCAAGCCCAGGCCCAGGTGACGGCCTGACAAGGGCTTTGGCCTAGGCTTCAATTCTGCGAAGCCTGAGCCACTGGCCCAAGCCGCGGCTTAGAATTATGTAAGTACTGCGCAGGAACCTGATTGTCGACTCTATTTTTGTCATTTTCTTGCTTCTCTTTGGTTCTTGCTTCCTAGTCCATCATACTGTAGGGTATGTCAGAATGACACGGTGAGTCGCCATTGTCGTCTTCTTTCAAAGCTTCCGCTAATACTCACCCCAGTGACGGAAAAACAGACATCACCCGCCGTATCATATTGTGCTGTTTTCAGCAATCTATGCACCTCTCAAGTCCTACTTTGTGCTGCAGCTTCGTGAGCTTGATGGATTCTTGAACAAGCTTCAGTCGTTTATAAATGGTATGTGTGTGTATTTTATCTGTGTAGCTGCCTGCAATGACTGGCATGACGGGCACAGTTCTCACCGATGGCGAAGACGAGCCACGTGTTGTGCGTCCCGTACACAAAATCAAACCCACTGCTGCCCTCCTTCAACACTCGGAGAAAGCGGCTCTTCCCTCCCAAATAAAAGCTATCACCGATTTCCGTGCAGCTGAGGCCGCCAAGCGTGCTTCAGAGGTTTCTCAGCCTGCTGCACTCACAGCGCCTGTACCAGCCACACAATTAGTGCCTCCCCCATCCAACAAATGTGTGTCCCGATGATGCCCTCGATGATGCCCTCGATGACGATGAATCTGGTGATATGGAGCGCGAGAATGCTCGTGTCAACCCTAAGCATGCTAGAAGGAAGTGCAAGTCCCCTCCATGTTGCTTGTTCCGTAGTTCTATTGCACTACAATATATAATGTCACACTGATAGCAAAAGAGCCGCAGCTTCGTTTGGCTCAAGCCATGGCTTTTGGCCGGCTTTGGCTCATGGCCTTGGCTTGAAATATGGTGAGCCCGAGCCCCCTCAGGCCAAGCCAAAGCCGGGCCGGAACATCACTACTTGAGAAGACTGGTGATGAGGTAGCGACTCTAGGTGAACAACTGGAGTCTGTCTTTGGCTGGAAGGCTCGGACTTCAGGTGATGGTGTTATTCCAATCCTAGAACGTGGAAAAGCAATATGTGCCTTGCATGGTATCTTGATGCTATATTACGAAAAATACCCTACAAACAATGTGCTCAAAAAGTGGGTCCATGACATCACTGCTGGAGCAGAGAAAGTTTACGAGATGTATGGTGTCCCTGTACGTGATCCAGAATTCATTTGCAAATTGCACTGCCCCTAAAACTAATCCGAGTTAAGATTCCAGAGTGCTCAAAAGAGCCTGTAAGGCAACAGGGTACCAAACGTCCAGCACCAGATGTCACTATCACGCACTCACAAAGCACTGGCAGTAAGGTATGTAATGTTTCCTTTGTAATAATACCAATATGATAATATGAGCAAATTAGCAAATTTCAAACGTCTATCAACCAAAATCATCAGGGGCCGGACGCAACCCCATTGACATCATGTCACGATTAGTCATAAAGTACCACGACGAGGATTCCCAGAAGAACTCTTGGGGATGTGTTGCCTCAGGCTGTACTTTCCTGCGACAGGGTAATGCGCAGCTTGAACGAGCCTTGAAGCATGCAACAACATGCAAAATTCTCCAGGCTGACCATGTTGAGCTGTGGCGACAAGCGATCCAAGAATCAGGTGATAATTCACCAAACTGGCAGGCAGCGCAGATGATGTGTCAGTCACAGACATTGACGGAATAGCAGATTCGGATGATGAAGATGGAGCTGAGGACGAGCTGTTGGAATCGGAGATAGACGGACGCCAGCCTGCTCAAGCTGTTGCCTTCGAGATTCATCCTGACATTGATATCAACTCGAAGGCATTGAAGGATATGGTCTCTACTGACCCAGTTTCCGTAGTTTCCACTGTGGACCTATCATTCGTGTTGTCTCCGCAGGCTGCCACGATGGTGACCGACGACGGAGATGCAGATTGGAATTATTAGACTCACAGACGACCTTTTTAACAATTGTTAACTGCGTTTTTGTTGTTAACAATGTTAATAATGTATTTCTAACACGTTAGTAACACAAATGTTAGGAATTGTTATTAACCTGTGTTAACTATGGCCCTGGAGCGCCCGATGTTACTAACAAATGTTAGAAATCGGCCGTGAATTATTCACCGAGCCCTACTGGAGAAGTCACAGTTGTCATGGCATCGATGCGCCATCCGCGTATCAGCTCGAGTACTTCTTCAGGCTGTGGTGGAGTTCCTTGTTCACATTCAGTATGTAATTACCCATGGGCGCAAAGAGGCTGTATGTCTGATTCTGATTCCATGTACTCCTAATATACGGATTCAGATGAGCCGCAAAAGAACAAACATATTGGAAAGGCACGAGTGAGACCGCAACACAGGAACGCGAATTGCTGAAGAAAGGAACAAAGTTTAGATAACTCACCTTCAAGATCCTGTGCGGGAACTTCGATACCTAGCTTCAAATATCGTCGACCACATCTGAATATTATGAGAAAAGTATGAAGTATAAGTATATCTGGATCACCATAATCAAAAACTACAAGTGTGGTACCATACTAGTCCATGACACCGCCTTGAATGCGTCAGGAGGAAGATTGTGTAAAGTGGTAAACATAAGTACCAAGAGAACGGCACGAGCTGGGACGTACAATGCGAAACATGCGAAATAAATCAGAAAATACACACCCCACACGACATACTTTAATGGATTTGGAAAACGCTGAAGTACTGAATGGGTCACTTCCGAGTCAGAGTAGAGACTCCAACAAAGACAGGGTGTGCAAGTTGTGGCGACGGCACTGATGCGCCATAGCATCTGTTCCTGGTGTGTGGGAAAGGCAAAGAACCAAGCCATACAATGGACGCCACCGAATATGGTCGCCATAAGCATTGCAGCAAGCCGAAGAACTTTTTTGTCCGAATCTTTGAGAGTGATGCTGCCATCAAATGTTGGAACTTGGAGCTTTTGAGATGTAGGAATGCGAGGAAAGCCCATCAGTTCGAAAATTGAGCGGGCGATGGGAAGCGGAGCGAATTCGTCTGTGTCACTGACACTAAGGCAGACATAATCAGCAGCGGTATGCTTGTTCAGGCGTTATAATACATACTCAATGTGATCCTCTGGCATTGACTCGGTCGACTTCCAGTACACTGGATGTGAACATCGCACATCGAGAGGCTTGTCCCACCACATAGCATAAGTTAGGAAACTGAGGACCGCAAAAGCGAGTGTCCCCACTTCGAGCTGAGTGGTTTCGAGGTGATAGATGGCGCGGGTGATGAGCTGCAGAACAAACCAGGCCACCTGAAGCATGACCAATGCTTTTGATATCGCATTGCCTTTGCTCCTGTCATGGATCTGCTTTGCGGTCAGGGTAGGAACGTCGATACACTTGTTACGTATCAGTTTGAGAATGTAGTCAGGACGTAGTGTAAGGTAGGGTTTCCCGTCCACATAAAGCATGAAACCACCCATGAGCACAAAGAAGCTGTGCGTCTGAGTCCAGGTATAATCTAAATATGGATGAATCAACGTTTATATGAGCAAGAATCTGGCTTACCTTCCGAGTCAGACTCGGATGGCTCTGGCTCAATCCAGCTTGCGACACACTTCATGGGAGCACAAAGGAAATGCCAAAAAGACATCAGCATAGATAATGGACCTTTGGCAAGCAGAATTAAGAGGCAAACGAAAGGCAAGCGGAGAAGGAAGCGAATAAAGCAATTTCCAGCTGCAGGTACTTCAACAGAATCTATTTCTAAGGACGTGTATAGTGAGTTGTGAGATGCGGAATTTCCAAAAGTACAACTCACCTTCAGAGTCCGGACGAATGATCAAGTTGGGATATTCTAATTTTTCGAATTGTCTTGTAACCTGATGAGCGCTGAACCACTGACGCATAGCCCATGCGACAATCAGTTCAGGAGCGATTAGTGCCATTATTGTCATGCTAAGTTGTCGCCATAGGATATAACGGTGGCCGCTTTCCCTAGGACTGGGGATATTGGGGTGGATGGCACTGTATATGCATGCAAAAAGAGTGAGAACAGAGCTGAAGATGATTGTCCATAGGGTTCTGGTCGTGAATGATGGGGCTTCAACATTGTCGCTAGTAGTGATATTTGTTGCATTTATTGCAGGTGCGGCTTGGATCACTCCAACAAGGTAGAGGATGATGCAGAAAAATACTAGTAAGCGCATTATTGGATGGGCGTCTTGTATGCATCCTGTTCACTGTTTTATTTTATTAGCAGGCGTTATCTCAATATTTGCTAGCACGATGTACAGTGAAGACTAGTACGGACAGGGATGCTGTGGAGTTAATTACCTTATTTTGTACTATGTGTGCGCCCAGCTAGCAGATTGTTGACAGATTGGCAGGTCATAAACGTAAGGATTTCGTGGGCGATACATATACAGGACGCCGCACGGCAGGTGTTGTGGCTATCCGGAAGACGCGTCATTGAGAGATGGATTACCGGTAAGTTTATGGTGTTGCACAAGGAAAGAGAAACGAGTCGGATAGGCGGGCGACGCGCGAAGATTCAGAAAGAGTCTCGCTAAGCAGACATGACGAGCTCCTGGCGTGCCCACGTATATGCACCCTGTGTCAGCTCATAAAAATCAAATCAATCCAAAACGCTAAATGTGCACTAGTGCACTCCCCACCTTGACAGCACTTGAGCTTGATCGATCTGATCATAGACGCGGATGTAATGTATTTTGGTTTGTTTACACCAACGAGCATAAGCGCGCCGCCAGCTTCCAGGTGTGAGTTCCCCCATTACGGCCCAATATTTTGCCAACAAGCCACATATGCACCTTTCTTTCCAGAAACACAATTTCCTTGGGTAGCGCTGGGTAATAATAGAGGCGTACACTGCACATCGGGTCCGAGTCGCCACATGAGTCCAAAGGTAACCGTCTCCTCGTCGATTGGGAATGTTGTTACCTGTTCGTCAGTCGTCCGTTTCATCAGCTACAGCGTACAAAACAGGCCTATTTCGCTGCCATCCATGGTGATGAGTAAATTCAAGTAAGACTTGGGCACCAGATTGAATTGGACAGAGTCATTGAAGGAGATGAGGAGAGCTGAATTTTCATGCTGAGTGTTGTAGTTCTGTTTCCTGGACGACTTTTTAACTCAGTCCAGAATGTGCACAATATTTGCGCTCCTAGGCAGACCCAGGGCGGGATTCGGACAGAATCCATATGGGCCTCCGGCAACGTTCGCCGCGCCCAACCTGAGTTCCAAAGCCATTATCGGGGGTCCTTAGGTATCTCGCCAGCTCATTTGACAAATGTCGTACCAGCAAAGTCAGGCTTAAACGGAGTATCTCGCTGGCCCCTCGCAATTGCATTTGCCAGCTCAAGCCTGAGTCAGTCCAATCTCAAATATGGCTTGCGCTTGGACTAGTCTGGGCAAGCTTACCCTCAAATTGTCTGTTGCCTACGCGAGCACGTTTAATTATTCTCAAAGTGTGGTCTTGGTAGAAAAGCGATGCCTTGTCCCATTCCCCCTTGTCACTGTCACGGTTGCTTCCAAGCTGTTTCCTTTCTGTGTCGAAAGCGCGACGTCCAAGTAAGTCATAACATCCCTTTTTGCAGTCGCTGTATTCCATTTTATATTTCATCCCACATCCCTCACCTCGATTGAGGTCATATCTATCTGACACGTTGCTAATTCAACACGCATCTCATACATTAAATGGAGCAGCGCTTGCTTGTGGACAGCGCGATGACGGAGAAATTTCTGCGAATAGCATGCATGTCTATCGAATGTTACGAGTCGGTCTTTTATTTCTTCGTTACGGACTCTTAGTCATCGAAATATATTGGTTATATCACTCTTCCCGTAGAATGGTGCTTTGACCGAAGCGAATCATCACTCTTTCAATGGAGGTATGTGTACGAAGCCATTTGGAACCAAAAGCTGCCGTCCTCGATTTAGTATGTCAGTGTTTCGATCTCATACAAACAACGTCCTTTTTTGCGTAGGGAAAGTGAGTGATTCCCTTACCACCGGTGTGGGCTGTCCAGATCTCCATGAACCATAGCTGCATCTCGGTAAATTCATTGTCAACCTGGTACTACTACTTCCCCGTGGTGTTGTATGACATCTTGATGGTGACAGTACTAGTATCTACCATGCATCTCCTGCGTTATAAACCTCTTAGTAGCAGGTGCGCCTTTTCTCTCACGTCTTTACGGTCGCTAAATCATCGCTGTTAGAGTTGAACGACTGATATAGGTATAAGTACCTGATGACTTGCAAAATAGATGCGCGTCGCTCATCATACTCAGTGTGATCTATGACGGCATTGAATATTTCCTCGTGTTGTCCGGCAAGTATGTTCTGCTTGTGACGAGCACCCTCTTGACATTTCTTCAGTGTCGAACGTATTGCAGCTCACCCTTTATCGTATGATCGATATCGAGACTCAGGTACGTAGGATGAATTATGGATACGTCATAGAAACTCAGCTCTATTATATCCACTCGCTTCCATTATTAGTCGGCAGGGTAAGTTTTGTATCATCTGGCGCCAAGGAGATCAGATCACTCAGAATGCATCAGGACATCAATAGGCCATACTGTAACCTGGATGGTGAGTCAACGGATTCTCATTAATAGGTTCTAGAAGCTCCAGAAGCCCCATAAATACAGAGTTCAGGCCCACATCGCCTCGTAATTCTAACGACATGAAACTCGATATACCTATATCCGTCGAGCACCCGGTAGCAGTAGACTACATGGACGAGTCTAGGCATCTGCGAAGTTTCACCGATTGAGTTCGAATTGTAGGGAACAGGCCCAATGCCTGAAGGCGTAATTCATGTTGTTGATGGCTAGTCGCGATGGTAGAGGAAATACAATTTCCGCGTGTCTGGGATAATAGAGACAGACGCTGCACATCGGGTCACGTCCAAAGGTAACTGTCTACTCGCCGATTCGGAATGTTGCAACCTGCTCATCAGTCGTCTGCTTCATCAGCTGCAACATACCGTACCAAACAGCTTTATCGCTGCCATCCATCATGATGTTAGGGTCATACCAGACGATGTGATTGCATCATGTAGCACCTAGCTCTATTGTTGTCGTCGACCACAAGAATGTTACACCTAAATATCATGAAAAAAGTATGAAGTGCATGTATCTCGAGCATCACAATCAAGAACTATAAGTGTGGCACCAAACTGGTCCACAGCACCGCCGTGTATGCGTCATGAGGAAGATTACGCAAAGTGGTGAACATAAGTACCAAGAGGACGGCACGAGTCGTGATGTAGAACACGACAAATGTAAAACAAATCAGACCATACACACCCCACATGAGGCGACGTGATGAATCGGAAAGGCGCCGTGCTAAAGAGTCTAAGTAGAGACTCAAACAAATCCAGGGTGTGCAAGTAATAGCGATGGCACTTATTTTCCATAGCACCTGTTCCTGGTGTGTGGAGAAGGTAAAAAACCAAGCCACAAGATGGATGCCGCCAAATATGGTTGCCATAAGCACGGCAGCAAGCCGAAGAACCTTCTTGTTCGAGTCTTCAATAGTGGTGCTGCCATCAAATGTTGGAACTCGAAGCTTTCGAGACGTGGGGATGTCAACCCAGCCTATCAGTTCTAGAATGGGGCGGAAGAATCGAGGTAAGTACCGAAGGCGAGCAAATTCATCTCTTTTACTGAAACTAAAGCAAACATAATCAGCAGCGGTATAATTATTGAGGCGCATACATACTCGATATGATCCTCTGGCCTTGACACAGTTGACTTCCAGTATACTGGATGTGGACATCGCACATCGAGAGGCTTGTCCCACCACATAGCATAAGTTAGGAAACTGAGGACCGCAAAAGCGAGTGTCCCCACTTCGAGCTGAGTGGTTTCGAGGTGATAGACGGCGCGGGCGATGAGCTGCATAACGAACCAGGCCACCTGAAGCATGACCAATCCTTTCGATATTGCATTGCCTTTGCTCTTGTCATGGATCTGGTTTGCTGTTATGGTAGGGACGTCGATACACTCGTCACGTATCAGTTCGAGAATGTATTCAGGACGTAGTGTAAGGTAGGGTTCTCCGTCCACATAAAGCATGAAACCACCCATCAGCGCAAAGAAGCTATGCGTCTGGGTCCATGTATAATCTAAGGATACGCATGAGTTAATATTTAGTGACCAGGTGAGCACGAATGGGGCTTGCCTTCCGAGTCGGACTCGAATTGCTTTAATTCAATCCAGCATGTGACCCACCTCAAGGGAGCACAAATGAAATGCCAGAGAGACAACAGCACAGATAATATAGCTTTAACACACAGGATCAAAAGGCGAACGAAAGGCAAGCGGAGAAGTAAGCGAGTGAAGCGATTTCTAGTTGCAGGTGCTTCAACAAAATCCGTTTCTGAGGACATGTATAGTGAGTTGTGAGATGCAGAGTTTCCAAAAGCACAACTCACCTTCAGACTTCGGACGAACATTGGGATACCCTGATTCCTTGAACTGTCTTGTAACTTGATGAGCGCTAAACAACTGGCGCATAGCCCATGTGACAATCATTTCAGGAGCGATGAGTGCCATTATCATCACGCCAAGTTGTCGCCGTATGATAAGAAAGGAACCGCTGTCCTTCGGACTCGGGATATTAGGGTGGATGGCACTGTATATACATGCAAACAGAGTGAGAACAGAGCTGGAGATGATGGTCCATAAGGTTCTGGTCGTGAATGATGGGGCTTTAAAACTGTCGCTAGTGGTAGTATTTGTTGTATTTGTTGTAGGTGCAGCTTGGATCCCTCCAACGATGGAGAGGAAGATGCAGAAACATACTAGTAAGCGCATCGTGGAATTGGTGCATCGTATGCATCCTGTTCACTATTTGTATCTTACTAGTGGGTGTCATCTCAAAGCAGCGCAGTGTACAATGAGGCCCTGTATATGACTTGTTTGATGTTTGCAGCATGACAGTGACAGCTGGGCCTGAGTCGGTGTCCTGAAGCCTGATGCCCAGTGAAAACTGGTACGGATAGGCTCAAAGATGCTGTAGTGTGAATTACTTTATTTGAGGTGTGTTACAAGTACGCCCTGAAATGATTGACAGAATGGCAGGCCATGAACATAAGGAATTTCAAAATTTCATGGGCGATACAGGACGACAGGTGTTGTGGCTATCCGGAAGACGCATTGAGAGATTGATCACCAGTAAGCTTATGGTGTTGTACAAGTAAAGAGAAACGAAGATAGGCGGACGACGCGCAAGGAAGATGCTAAGCAGACATGACGGGCTTATGTGTACCCTGTATCAGCTCATAAAAAATCACATCCGTCCAAAACGCTGGCAGAATCGGCCAGATGTGCACTTCCCACCTTGCCGTGCACCCACCATCTTCTCCTTCTCGCTTACTCATGTCTTCCAGATTCTTTACTCCATCCACAGCGGCGTGGTTCACCAAAGACAATGAGGATTGAATATTGAATATTGAAAGCCTGCCAAGGCAAATGGTGTCCGAATTAGCTTGATCATAAAGACACAGTACATGTAACGTATTTTGGTTTGTTTACACCGATACTGGGGCCCTTGGTGACTGACACTGTATATGCATTGCATAAACTGTAAGCGCTTAAGCGCGCAAGCTCTCAGGTGTGAGCTGCCCTATTGTAGGCAAGTTGCTTTTGTTTCTTACAATTGGATATGTATCGTCCCGGATCGTAGATGAATTTTGTTTGGCTCCGGTGTAGCGTTCTAGCTAGGTGACCACAAGCGCGCAAGTCAGCTGCCAGGTGTGAGCTCCCTTGTTATGGGCAAATTGCAAATAAGCCACGAACACAATTTCCTTGTGTTGCAAGGCTGGGTAATCATAGTAGAGGTGCGGCACACTGCGCGTGGGGTCGCGTCCAAAGGTAAGTATCTCCTCGCCGATTGGGAATGCTGCTAACTGTTCATCAGTCCTCCGTTTCATCAGACATGCCACAGTATATAAAACAACCCTAATTTTCGCTAAAATACACAGCCCAAATTGATGAGCAAGTTCAAGCAAACCTTGGGTAAACAAGACCGAATTGGACACAGTTATAGAAGGGGGTTGAATTTTCATATTTCTATATTTCCAGCTGAGCTGCATTGTGGATTTCTAGCTAAATACTCTGACGAAAGACGCCTCTACAAAAGTTCTTTGTTTATTAGAATTTGGACAAAATTTGCGCTCCAGGACCGGACAGAACCCGTTTGAGCCTCCGGCAACGTTCACCAACCTGGGTTCCAAAGCCATTATCATCCGTCCTTAAGTACCTCCGAGTCGCCAGCTCATTGAACAGATGCCATATCAACAACATTAGGCTAAACGGAGTACCTCGCTGGCCCCTCGCATTTGCATTTGCCAGCTCAATCTCAAATACAGCTTGTGCTTGGACGAGTCTGGACAAACTTACCCTCAAAATTTCTGTTGCCTACGCGAGCACTTTCAATTGTTCTCAAAGTGCGGTCTTGGTAAAAAAAAGAGATGCCTTGTTTCATTCCTCCTTCTCATTATCACGGTTGCTTCCAAGTTGTTTCCTTTCTGTGTCGAAAGCGCGACGTCCAGGTGAGTCATAGATTCCTATTTGCAGCCGCTAGCATTTTTACCTCATCCCTCACCTCTATCTCTATCAAGGACATATTTATCTGACACGTTGCCAATAAACGTGCATTTTATCCATTGAATGGAGCATCATTTGCTTATGAAAAGCGTGATGATGGAGAGATATCTGCGAATAGCATGCATGTCTATCGGGTGTTATGAGCAAGTCTTTTATTTCTTCGCCATGGCCTCGTAGTCGTCGCAATATGCTGATGATGTTCAGTTATATTCTTACAGTCCCCGCAGAATGGCGTTTTTATCGAAGCGAATCGTCATTTTTTCATCTAAGGTATGTGCACGAAACCATTCACATACCGCCGTTGACAAGCCCAATCACATCAGTCTTGCCTGCATTTTATTTATTCTCATACGGTACTTTGTGTCCACATCCCATTATGCGATTTCTTTGCTCACATTTGATGCAGCTATGTTAGTATCGTGACTATAGTAGTCAGCAATTACGGGTTCTTCTCCACTACATTTACCCAACAAACCTGCCAAAAATACTATCTTGTTGCGCCTATCTTCAAAGGTGTGTCGTATTGGTATTCACGCACCAGGACTCTAGTGACCATGTTGTAGCCGTACAAACTATGATATCACAGGTCATTCTAGGTGTGAGGTGTGTCCCATCGAATTGTTCGTGAGTTGCAGCTGCAGATTTAAAACACCGCGTAGAACATTCAATATTGCAAGAAGAGATAGGCGGATAGGAATTGCATTATTGCTGCTGTACATCTTGTCAATTTCGGTGAGCTCTTTACTACACAGACATGAAACCCTGTCTCACATTCACTTTAGGCGGAGTGGTTCGTAGATCTATTTCACGGGACCCGTAAGCTCTGGTTAATATTTTGATCTTGATTTCGCTATTGACCTTTAGAACCAAAAGCTGCCGTGCTTGATTTAGTATGTCAGTGTTTCATAAAACGAGATCTCATACAAACAACGTCCCTTTTTTGTACAGGGAAAGTGAGTGATTTCTTTACCACAAGTATTCTGTCCATATCTCCATGAACCATAGCTGTACTTCAGTAAATTCTGCCAGAGTATTGTCAACCTGGTTCTACTACTTCCCTGTGATGTTGTATGACATCGTGATGGTGACGGTATCTACCATGCATCTTCTGCGTTATAATCCTCTCAGTAGCAGGTGCGCCTTTTCTTTCACGTCTTTAGTGTCGCTAAATCATTGCTGTTAGAGTTGAACGGCTGATACGGGTGTAAGTACCTTGCGACTGACAGAACCGATGCGCGTCGCTCATCATAATTAGCCTGATTTATGACGGCATTGGATATTTTCTCGTGTTGTCCGGCAAGTGTGCTCTGCTTGTGACGAGTGCCCTCTTAACACTCCTTCAGTGTCGAACGTATTGAACCTCATATTTTATCATACGACCAATATCGAGACCCAGGTACGTAGGCTGAATTATGGATACGCCAAAGCTTAGCTCTATTGTATCCACTCGCTTCCATTATTAGTCGGCAGGGTAAGTTTCGCATCGTCTGGCGCCAAGGAGATCAGACTGCTGAGAATGCATCATCAGGGCATCAATGGGTTATACTGTGACCTGGATCATGAGCCAACGGATTCTCATTAATATACGGGGTGCGCAACATTCTAGAGCTTGACTGCTATCCCGCTTACGCACACTCGCAGAAATGACACAGCCAAATGCCCAACACATAGAGAAAGTGATCGTCGCGCGTCCGAGCACGCTTAATATGCAGAAAACCGTGATGTCCGGTCTCCGCTCACAGTTCGAGTCTAAGAGTTATTCCCGAGGCTCTAGAAGCTTCAGAAGCCCCATAAATACAGAGTTCAGGCCCACATCGCCTCGTAATCCCAATGACATAGAACTCAATATACGTATACCCGTCGAGCGCCCAGTGGCAGTAGACGAGTCTAGGAATTCGGGCTCATGGGGGCCGCCAGTGGTGGAATGAGTTTGGGGCACTGGCGCTTGGCGAAGCATCACAAAGATCAGGCTGCAAAGTATCTAAGTACTACGGATGTGACTACCCAACATGCAATATTTACGTAAAGAACTAGGCTTAGCGTAGGGAGAACCGAGGCAGATACATAGTCTCACCGAATCTGCGAACAAATACGAATTGTGGTCGGCAGACGTGTATATCAAACTGTGAGGATATATATCATGCGGCACTAGCCTGACGCGCCGCAATTTCAAGTTATGAAATTGACAGTGAGTTCACAGCTGAATCATCACTGAAACCCAATGTTCCCTATCAACCATTATATACACATTATCATGTTGATAATAACCACATTCGGCTAAAATGTGGCACCGCAGACTATCTAGTCATTTATGGATTTAAAATGCCATCCTCTATTACGCATAACCATTAGTGCTGCCGCGGTCCGGTCCAGAACCATGGTTCGAACCGGACTTTTGGTCCGGTTCTCCGCGGTTCGGTCCATGGTTCTTGCGCCAGCCAGAACCGGACCGGAAAACGGTTCTCGGTTCTAGATCTTCCCAAACGGTCCAGTTCTGGTTCGGCCTTCCCGAACCATTCCGAACCCTTATCGACTTCGACTTCGACAACACCTGCCTCGACGTCAGACTGTCGTCTTCGGGATTCACATTGTTGATTAATCAAGCTACATTTAGCCTTTTCGAAGGTATACCGGTAAGCACTAACTAATTAAACTCTCAAGTCTCTCACCCGCTCACCTCTATAACAGGAAGTTCTATTCATTGAGGATTGGCTACAACACTGCGCAAGACTACCTTTTACTGGAGGTGGATATGTTAGGCGCGGTCAAGGTGGATTTTGGAGGGATTGTGTCTTGCGCTATGCTGCAGAGGTGCGTATTTGTGCTCTGAATGCTGATGGCTCCCTCAAGGGCCAGCACCCATCGCTACCAGCGCACAACCCATCACACGCCACGCCACCTGCGCCTATGTTGATGCCCGCCACCTCACTGCATCCCCTCTCACTCGCTTGCTGTTCTTGCCGGCTGGCTTTTGCTGGCTCGCTCGCCGTGTCTCACTCGCCCACTGTCTCTCACCCTCTGTCTCTCGCCTGTTGTCTCTCACCCCGCTGGACGCGACCCAATCTTTCAATACGATGAGAGTTTTTGGAGGTACATTTTATTTGAGTTGTGATGACGCGATGTTGAACGATCACCTTGCACTACAGGCTTTGCGCATCGCGCGATTGAGGACATCATTTGGAAGAACTACCATCATTTTTGTCCTCTCACCTTTGGGTTTGACACTTGTGCTTCAGGGCTATCGCAAACGATCCTGAAGTCTTCCCCGAACCACACAGGTTTAATCCTCAGCGTTGGATTGACGATGCAGGTCGCGCGCGATGATCTCCGGTTGATCTCCGGTTTTTCACTTTTGGCTTTGGCCGTCGGTGAGTAGTATCGTTCATCTCTCGACCATTTCTTGCGCCTTACTTGAAAATGTCAGAGTGTGTCCTCGCGAATCGGTCAGTTTTCATCAATACGGCTCTCATCATGTGGGCTTTCCACTTTTTGGAGAATCCTGTGGCTGCCAGCATCACAATTTTTTCTGAAGCGCCAGCCACGTCAGCATCTTCAGCAGCTACAGAGGCAGAGGGGTATGGAGTCGTCATTAGAGTAGCTACTTGATGTGTAAACTAGTATTTCAATGTTTTGTTTTTCGCGCTTGCCACTGAAAATTTTCGGGTTCAGTCCGAGTTCGGACCAGAAAAAAACCGAACCGGACCACAGAGAACAGTTCTCTGTGGTCTGGTTCGGGGTTCGAAGATTTTGCAGAACCGGACCATGGTCCGGTTCTTGGTTCTCATCCAGGACCCTCTGAACTGGACCGAACCGGACCACGGCAGCACTAATAACCATCACATGGACGTGTATTCGGTAGCAGCTGCACAATTGTGCTTGCTAATACATTGAATCTGATTAATGGATGTGCAAAATAGGTTTACACTATGCAGCACACAGACCTTAGAGTATTGCGACTGTTCATGCAACATATCTACGAGAGTGCGTTTGATGGCTAATCTATATAATGAATAGACAGAAGCACCGGATACATCAAGTCATTTATGTGTATTTAACGCTATCCCACATGATCAAGAAAAGTCATGGAGGTTGATGTACAGCGTCAATCACATGAATTTAGTTGTGATACTACAGAACCTCGTTGACAGCTGTGTCTGATAAATATATATAGGACAATTGTGAAACATCACGACCCAATTACTGGTCATGCTACATATATATGAGCACACAATTGATAACCAATTATATATCATTTTGTGACAAAGGTGAAAGGTAGTTACCAGTTGCGCCCGTATTTCCCATATCAGTATATCAACCTTTGTGCGTGAATGAGTTACTATGCTTTGACATTTGTCATACTCCCAACTTAATAAACTTGTGAGACTAGGACACATGATTGTTGTGAACGATTTGATGTCATCTCAGTGGCAAAGTAGGTCAAGTAGTCCCGCACCTATATGAATGAAAATTTTTTGAAAGAGAGTTTGCTGTACGACATTTCAAGCATGCAAAGTATTATTTCACGGATGTTAAAGAAATACAGCATCCCACTACCTGTAACATAGGTAGGTAAGTGCTTCATAAGTGTAATGTAGGTATTATCTCTCAGTAAGAACAAATTATGGACACATCGCAAATCAATGACTATTGTGTACTGGCATTCAACCGAGTCTCTCACATGCGACACAATCCATTAAAAAAGGAAATCACGGTTTATTTAGATACTATGCAACAAAAGTCGCTATCGTGTTACATATTATATACTACTATACATACAATGCTGATCTTCGACTGATCTGTAAGATAATGAGCACAAGATCCGAGCTAATGTCTGCTCGAACACCGAGCAACAGACAGTTGCTCGGTTCTTTGGGGGCGATAGACGGATGCATGTTTGCATCCAAAAACCTTGCTAATATTACAGTATATTGAGAACAGTGGCAGATGGCTATAGCTATACACAACGACTCACCGGTTCCACCAAAGCAATAGATCTTCAACTTCCTTAACTGCATCTGATGTCGCAGCAAGTTCGAGGAAGTCAACGATGTTGTCATAGAAATCTTGATGATTGAACTCATCGTCTACAATACGCCATGACCCTGTGCTAGACAAAGCAAACCTAAGCTGAATGACCTGCATCAGCAGCGAATGCAATGATAGAAGTGATATATTGTACTTACCTGCACAGCTGCGTATGCAATCGATCATGGTTGAACGGATTTCATGTTCAACAGCCCAGCAATGTCGCAACAAGTTCGGCGCTTGCCATCAGTCCTTCGCTGTTTCGGAGGACCCTGCATGGAAAGCATTGCTGGGCTGGTTGGCTCTTGGTCGTCCAGCTCTGCGGAGGTAGGAGATGTGAAGATGTATTTGAATGTCTACAGGTAGCCTCAGTAAATTGTCATTCATGCTCGTGAAACGTACCTTTAAAAATAATTTCCCTTTAAATAGACCGTCTATAGGATTCAGTGGGTCATATCGTTCGTCCTCGTATAAAAAGGCAGGCCAAGAGTGAGCCGTAACGCGATAATCAGGGTGATAATCCCTGATGCCTTGTTGGACACTATCACATTGGTCAGCAAAGACGCCATGAAATACACAAAACTTACACCGGGTCACTCCAGTCATAATCTACGGGGCATATAAGCCGTCCGGTTGCATCATTGTTGAACCCGCGGCCCATTCTGCTCTGCCCGTGAATAACAGGGTTTGGTGGTGGGGTAGCTTGCATCATCCATGAAGCGATGGTGACTTTGAGTCGCGTCGTATCGTCGGCCCTTGCTCCATCAGCACCCTTATTTAACTAGAAACAGTGTGTCAATTAGATTAGTATCGTCACCAAGGGGTGCACATGTCCCACCTTGCTGTATATACAAGAGAGCTCGCTATCCTCGACCACTGAGTGTACGAGCTTACGGACAGACAGGCACCAAGTAGCTAGTTTCTTGTATGACCTATACCTCCTGTCGTCCCTAGTGGAACATATCAGCACGAGCAACTGTAAATGCCAAAGGACTCACTCAGGATCATTCACAGTAGCATCGTCATCTAACTCAATATCTAGTGTCACGCGTCTATCAAACTCTGTGATTAGATCCTCGACACGTTCGGTAAGGCAGACGAGTCTGCGAATTACCCGACCCTCAAGATGAAGGCATACACTATCAAATTAATGATTCAAAGGGTAGCCACACGCTAGATACAAACACATACCTTTTCTCTTCCATTGGAAGTTTGCGGAGCTCTGCATTTTGTGCCTCCAAAAGAGCCAGCTGCCTTTTCAAGGCACCTACTTCAGAAGGTGGGCCATCGCTTTGGGTGCTCGTTTGTGACATTAGATGAACTATGGAAGATTTGGTAGATGCGTTGGGAGGTGTAAGAGGTAGATGCAAGTGGTGAATGTGAGAGCTGTGGAAGTGTGAGAGAAGGCGCACTGACTGAAGTATGGGGATCAGCAACATTTTGATCCGGTGTATTATGAAAGATATTGCGTCTGCTTACGTCTGCGGGCTTTGTGTTCGGAACAACCTAACGGTCATTAGGGGATTGCAGTCATTAATAAGAATGAAGGGTTGACGAAATTAAAGAATGAACTTACAAGGTTCCGGTCTGCAGAGCAACACCAACTTGACATTGTTTAATATCCTGCAGAACTTCCGATCAGAACAGTCAACGATAATCCCTGAATCCCTGAAAAATAATTAACAGCCAACGGACATCCAAGAAGGGCTTAGTTGGCTAAAATATACTTTGCCTCCCAAGGCATCTCCTTCGCTATTGTTCTTCAGTTTGTTGGGAATGTTCTACCACAAACATGCATCGTCAAGACAAGTCTACACAAGGGCCCGAGAACAGTAAAACTTACAGCGAATGCCTTGCCGGTTAGCCAAAACAAACATATGAGAAGGTAAACAGCCAGGAAGGCGTAGACCCTGTACATAATGAGTCAGCTTGAATAGGAAGACCTGACTTATACAAACCGTAGTGTAATTGCATATGCTGTCCATTCACTCTTTGGTCTGTTACCAAGAGCTAGCACAAACAGTAGCATGAGGAAGGTAAGATAGATCCATTTGAAAGCCAAGTTCACCCAGTGCGTCTGTGAGCACATGCTCAGTGTCAACCTTTCAACACTATAATCTCTTCGTGCAGTGACGTGTGAGGGCTGAGTGGTCAGCACGAAGGTCGGAAGATAAGCTATTATATCGCTTGTTCTATTTATCAAATCTGAGTTCACAAGGAGAATATGTCAGATGGTGCACCTGAGCGGTCATAGCAGGGTACAAGATCCCCAAAACTCAGCAGCGGACCTGGCCACATTGGTACCTGGTGCAGGGATTCGGTGAGTCTCAAAGGCCAGACAGAGATGGGACGTACCTATACTCATGAGCTTCTCCAGCACATCTGGAACCATTAACGGAGCATATTGGTACCTGGTGCAGGGATTTGGTGAGTCTCAAGGGCCAGAGAGAGACGGCACATACCCATAATCATGAATGGAGCACTCATGAGCTTCTCCAGCGCACCTGTAAACATTAATGAAGCACATCGGTACCTGGTGCAGGGATTTGGTGAGTCTCAAGGGCCAGAGAGAGACGGCACATACCCATAATCATGAATGGAGTGCTCATGAGCTTCTCCAGCACACCTGAACTTGGCAGCGCATTTAGGAGCCTACAAATAAGAACCAGGTCATCCGTGGCCTCAACATAGCGCGCTCGGACGATGAAGAAAAGGTGAGCATACCTTCGAGAACTTCATACTAACAACACTCACTGATCTACACAACCAGCGAGACCCATAACTCATCTTGTCCGGCGCTGCCCAATTTTTGTCTGGCCAGCGAGTCTTGGATGCCGATTGTGATTGCCGGTGGTCCAGGTCCAGATAGAGCGCGATTGGCAATCGAGCCCGTGGCAGCGCTATGGCTGAATTGTCACGTTTGCAGTGTTTTATCTCTATGTCGAACATGTAGGCGACGCTATGATAGTGTTTCTTTCCGGTGTAAGCCACTCACTCAGGTAATTTTGTGTTCCCAGTCAAGTACCTGGATGGCATCAATACTGATTACTACTACATGTTGCTCCAGAAGAGTCTATGTACATCAAATGAGACTTAACTACTATCAAGCACTGAGCAACATCACATGCCATGGTTTTCAACCGCGTTACAGACCTCAATAAGGATTGCGTTTTGGGTACTGATGGCCGCCTCGATTCTACTCACAGCTTCTAACACACCCACAATTTCGTCAATTAGGTACCCAAATTTCCTTTTGAGTCTGTCATGTTTCCATGATACTTTCTTCCCCGGATTGGTACCGCCCTGGCCCAAATTGTCTGGAGCCTCCATATGATGGTAAGTGCATGATTTGAAAAATAAAGCTAGGCATACTCACATTATTCAACTCGTACTGTGACCTTTTTCGCTTGAGACACGGCCGCAGCTTATTGGTGTCCTTTACGTAGTCATTCTGAAGTTGGAAAAACTCCTTTCTGCGGTCTGGAAACCGATCTGTGAAACGCTCCAGGTATGTGGACGAATGATTCAAAGTCGAAAATCTTACCATAAGCATAACACCCACAGGAATATACTGGACCACTTTGCCCGTGCGACTGACCTGGGCCAGGGCAGGAGTCCTTGTGACTTTGCGGAGTGGAGCTCCTTGAGCGATGGACACCCTTGCTTGCTCTATGAGCTCCAAACGTAGTATTGATCAAGATCGCCTCAGCTCCATCATTAAAGTCAGAGGGCCGAGAGTCAGCACTAGTACTGGATTCTGTGTCGGACATCTTTGCTGGTTCCTCCTTCAAGTTGAGTGATGGTATTTAAATTCAAATCGCTCTACATTTCAAACTTACACAAAAATGACCTTGGTCTGATACAGAAATTTCTTTCGATTCTTCTTGACCCTGCATTCCAATGTACCAATCTCTCGGTTACCGGAAACCAAGTTCCTAAGATCCCGTTCGCAAGCATATGAACTCAACGTTGAAAACCGGTAACATTAGACGTGGATGGCCTGAATGGGAGGACGTCCGTCATGCAAAAAGGGGATGGACCAGGGTTGAGTTCTGGCTGAAAAAATATTTGCAGCTCCTTCCAGGTCACTTGGGCCGCTTGAAATGATCCGGCTGGCATGCTCAAAGGAGTGACAAGCTTCCTGTTACCCTTCCGAAGTACTTCAGCTCCCAAATGTTGACAAGAACAAGGTACGTGTAGTGTAATATAATAACATAATGACAAATAAGCACTCCATTTTCCAGATGCAACACGGTTCAAGTAGGGAATGACAGGAGGGTCTTGGGGAGGTCATGTGCTGGCACAGGGGTCCGAGTCAGTGCAAGGTTGCGAGGTTTTGAGGCAGCGCCAAGTGAGCCTAACGTGTGACATGGAAGGGCGCAGGCTGGAGGTTAGGTGTGGTACTAGGTGGCTGTAGTCCGGGCACGGTGGACAGTAGTCGCAACCTGAGATGGCAAGGTGCTTAACCTTATTACATAAGCAGAAATTTCCCCTACCGAGTGGTGCTGGACTTGACCTCTGCTAGTATGTACGTACCTACAATGTTCCGAGTCTTCACAACATTTGGTAGCCGAAGAAGTACATCGGAACCGTAACAGAGCACTTACGACTAGCCTTGACTAAAGTCTGTTTGGGTCCTTTACGGAAGCAGGGACTCAGACTTGACTTGATTCAGACGCCGGCTCATCATATGGGCACAGGGATTTCACAAGCAGCCAAGCTTCTTTCCGGAATGTGGGTGCAGCAGAACAAATTTTCGAACGTGAGCACAATTAATACTAATACCATTCAATTGCCAATAATTTCGCAGATGCAGTCAGATCCCATGACCACTAGGACAACGTACATGTTCCGCAAGCTTTCCCTCTGCTGGCAATACTGGTCAACCAATCTTCATTGTGCTGCTGCCCCCACAATTCTGACCATCAAAAACTCTGACCTTCAAGCAAGATGTGTCCAATATACTTACGCTACTAGTACTTCCATGCTGTCATTGCCACTGCGTGTCACTTGTATACATGGAACATGATTTTTGTTTCTCAATAAGACTCGCATTACATCATGCACCACCTGCAATGTCTCCCAAACGTAAGCCATCCTCCGCTACTAGTACCCCTGCATCTGTACTTCAAAAACTGCAGAATTCTGCTGGAGGATTCTATGCTGCTACGCCAAGACTTATTCGTCATGTTGAATATTTCATAGGTGGACAGGACGGAAACATTCTTATCAGCAAGGGAGGCGGACTCCAACCCACAGAGTTCATCATCCACGGTGTGTTTGAGATCAGTCGCAATGACTTTAATTTCACCCCAGATGGAAATTTTAATCCCTCAAATGTGTTTCATGGTCGCTTTGCAGATGTGAGATTGAGCTGTCAGCTCACCGCTGGCCAGTAACGATGCATTCCGATTCTCATCGGAAGACTTTCCGGATATCCTTGACAATCTCGCTCATTTCGAAGGATTAATCCTGAGGCCAGAAGAGTATGATAAACTCAGTGTTATTCATAACTCACTCGGCCAGAGATCAATCAAACTGACGCACAGTCTTTTTGAAGTAAGTGTTCATCATATACTTGTCTGTGCACATTACCATGACTAATTACTGAATATCGCTGTGGCGAACCAGGCCAATAAAGATTAGCAAGACACTGCCGGTGAAGTTTACGGTGATGAAAACTACTGGCATGGTAAGCCATGAATGATTCTTATGTCCGTCATTAGTACACTAATTGTTTTTACTCAACTGCAGATGGCCTAAACTCCAACTTTGACATTACCACCTGGCCAGTGGCCGACCGATGCAAAGGCCATTTGCAGGGCCTTGTTTCAACCCATAGCATCTGCCCCTTGCCAGCATATGACTCAGATCATAACCTCATCCTACCGTCTCAGTATGAGTCGAAACTGAAGGGTGCACTGGTCGAAGTGCACATGGCGTTTTGTCACCATTGAGTAAAAAGCAGGAAACGTGACATTTTCAGCGCTGTTTTACGAGAACTTACCATCCTGTTGCCGCCTGCCGCTATGCCAAGCAGCCCCTTCAAACGTCATCGTCTCAATGCCGGTCCATTGAAGGCATTTTGAATGGTATGTATTAACTCTTACTAGTATTATTGCGTTCGTGAGCTGATCACCTTCTACAGTAATGTTGAGCACCACACCCAATGGATTGTTGTAGTACTACTTGCGTGTATTTCAAATTGTATATCTAACATATGTAACAGTTCACACTCTCTGCAATCATGGTCAGCTCGATGCAAATTCTAATTCCCATAGACCAGCAGTATTCCATACGTACAGCAGCTTACGACTTCAATCACTCATGATCAGACACCCGCCACTGGTATGCCTCCTCCCCATCTTAGAGCCGGAAAGCACGAGCACGTATAGCATTAGCCAGCCCATTGCAACTCTTGCGAAGAGTACGGGTGAGGGGGTGTCATGCACAGACGTTGTGCCATAAGATTAATGGTCAGTACATGTTGTGGAAAGGGAGGCTCGCGAGGATGTAAGGGAGGTTTGCGATGCTTGAATAGAGGTCCGCGAGGGTCACATTGCGTTTATGAATATTGGAGGTAGGCTCGAGAGACTCACACAGATCATGTCCTTTGCTGCAACCCAACAAGTTCATCGATTTCCTCCTCGTCCTCCGTGGTGGTATTGCCCACTTCTTCTTCATCAATAGCACCATCCTTGATGGTGGTAATCTGTGGGATAAGGTCACTATGATTGGGTTCCAAGACCTGTGAACATTGCCATATCGCCTTCAACCTCCAGGAGGGTGGGACAGGTGGTACCTCCATGAACATGCGGAGCTGCCGCGGATTAGATGTTGTGGCATGAGATTTTGAAGGAGAAGTGTCGCCCAGACGGGTCGAGCCACAGTCTATCGATCTTCCCATTGGCAAACCCTCATCGCCCACGAGTGTGAGGAGAATCTGCGAAGGGCGCTTCTCCAACAATGACGGGGTCACGCGAGGCTATGAGACTTTTGTGGGCATCTATTGCAACAGATTTGATGGTGAGGACATCATCCTTGAGGGCATTTGCAAGGACGTGCCGCTCATGGAGAGAGAGATCGTGTATGCCCTTGCTCTTTGCGAGTGTTGCATGTCTCTCACCAGGCATAAGTATGTTTTACGGGTAGTTTCCGAGGATACAGCCATGATGGGCTAGAATGGTAGGTAGCGTTTTCCAGAGGAAAGTTCCCCCCTCACCCTTCGAGTGTCCCTGTAACATATTTAGCTATTCTACCCTATGATATAAGTATCACACTTACCGAGAAGTGCTGTCAACCCTCTGATGATGCAAGGTATACCATCAAGGAGCCTCCATCCATCAGGACCACAGACCCGTCACTTCTCCAACCATGTATCCAACACCTCCTGCGCTTGCACCCTGTGCCATGATGCGATGTGTTTGAGAACATAGTCAAGTTGGGTGAAATCCATTGATGCAACTAATATATGTTGAGAGGGAGGAGTGTAGAAGAACAACATCGATAACACATTAAGAAGACTCGGAGGTGCCACTGGTTCAGACGAAACGTCACACTACCCTGAGGGGGCTACCTAACAAGGTAGTGTGACTTTTCATCACAATCACGCTGCAGGCGCCTCGTCGAGGTCATGTGTAACCGCTTGCAGTAACATTCATTACTAGACTGGACGAAACACCTAGTGACTTACCCTGTCTCACAGGTCAATTTTCACTCTCTTCCTGCCCACCTAACAGTTTCTTCCAGGTAAACTCGTGTTTGTTGCTCAGCACAAACAGTCCAAACGCGAATTCAAGAAGTTGTCAAAGAACCATGGGTGACAAACTCGACAAGTACTAGAAGGGCTGGTATGATTCCTTTCGTTCATCCCACAACTTTTTACGCTAATCTGAATTTCTTGAAGCGCCTGATTTTGACGAAACACTTCGACTGACCTCATCCGTCAATGAGCCGTCCAACGTGAATGTTCCCTTCCCAAGAGGCTTCCTCCTGGCTCATTCTCAGCAACTTCATCTTCATCTTATACCTTCTCTGGCGAAGGCTCCATCCCCACCCATTCTGTAATAGTATTTGTACATTTGAACTACGTACCACAGCTCAGAGCAATTTGATTTATTTGCATTCCCGGGCCATGCCCCACGCGACACTAGTTACTCATACCTATTGTCAGTCCATTTACAGCTTTAAGATTTCGGTGGCAGTTCAGTCGGCCAAAATTTTTCATCAACATGGTCACGGTCACAGTCACCATGTAAGACTCCTCCAAGTCATGGCGCCAAAGCTGAATCGTTCACCCTAGCCTCACCGAATACACCCTTAGTGACAGACTGAGAGGGAACATGAGAGTCAATCTCATTCCCAATCATTTTGTTTTACTTCTGACTGTACTACTACTTCTTGAGATTTCGATGAGCGGTTATTTCAAATGCCATGAGAAGTGTGGTCGGTCATTTTCAGTGTCAGGAGGCCTGACCTGTCACCACAAAAGTTGTTCTCACTGGCAGCAACAGCTGACGCAACAGTCACTACATTTCAAACGAGCCTCTGCAATCGCGCAAGGAGCACCTGCAGCTAAGAAGATCAAGCTTGGTACTGCTCAAGTGAGTAGTATTACTATACACCTGCTTCACAGCCTGATCTTTATTTGATTAGACCACTGGTGAGGATGCCACGACATCACAGTCAGATGCGCCTACTCAGGCATCTTCACCCAGGGTCACATCTGCTGCCAGTGGCAGTAGCAGTTACACACTCCCAGACCTATCCTCCAGCAGTGCCTCTCAAACTCCATCAGTGCTTCAACCATCAACGGAGCTTCAAGCGCATAGCCTTTTTGAGGAGCAGGCTGAACCATCCATGGCAGCTCCTGTTCCTGAAGACACTTGCCTGAATCGCCCTACTCGCTCTTGCCGGTTGCCTATGCGATTTTGCGATGAGCTTCCTGTGCCACCACTCCCAATACCTCAGCCTCCTCCACCTACCCTTCCCCAAGTCATCCTCCATGTATTTGACTCTTTCCAGACATCCCTAAACCAATTTGGCATTGGACGAGAATATCGCCATTGACCAACACATGATCCCGACGCATTCGTCTCTGTAGATCAGCTATCCAATTTTTATCCTGACTCAAGTTTTAATACTGAACCTGAGGCGACATCTTCCTCAAAGGCTCCTCCCTGGCCATGGCGGAACATGAGCATCTGGCGCCTCATGACTTGGATGCTGAGTGGAAGCAATCAATCATCTGAAGCTCAAGTAACTCGACTAGTCAAAGAAGTCATATCAGCTGAAGACTTCAAAATCGAGGACTTAAAGGGCTTCAATGCCCATACTGAAGTGAAGCGTTTGGATTCCTTGGAAGCTGAACTTGGCAACAGTGATATCTTCCGAAGGGATGGGTGGAAAGAGGTGGCTGCAGAGATTCTTGTACCAACATGGGAGAAGAACCCAAACGGCAACGGGCAGATTTTCACAGTCCCTGGATTTCATTACCGGCCACTCACAGCAGTGATCCATGCTGCTTTCACAGAGGCAACGTCAAAATGGTTTCATTTCACTCCTTTCAAGCGCTTTTGGAAGTCTCCCGTGACTAGTCAAGAGCAGCGCCTTCACGATGAGCTCTATACATCGGATGCATGGATTCAGGCTCATGACGACCTGCAGAAGCAAAGGAGAGATGATAATGTCTTCTTAGATAGATGATCTATAGATAAACACCTACAAAATCAAAAATCTCCACGGTCAGCGATTCAGACAAATACCAATGACTGATAACATGGTTGTTCGTGGGTGGCTGTTTACACTTCCCCAAGCTATGTTCAGACAAAAAGTACTTCTTGTGAGGTCAGTAGCAATACCAGTCAATCCAACAGTATGGACGCAATAGAAAATAAAATAAACAGAATGTAGTCAGCCCAACGGTATGGTGATGACAAAAAGAAATTGATTCACTCCAACGGTATGGCAGTGTTTAGAGAACAGAGAAAAGTCAGCCCAACAGTATGGTACTGATAAAAAAAAGAAATAGATTGATAAGGGAAACCCTTCCTTCAGTAACAATGCTTCTTGTAATAAATTTACTACAGAAAGTTGTGCGAAATTATAGCAATCACCCCCTCAGCACAAACAGGTAGAATCAAAGGTCAGGGCTAATCAGTGATCAGTAGAACTCTTAGTTCACTATTGAACCTGCTGCCAAGGAACTCACGATGAGTATTAAACAGAATCAGGAACGGACGTCCTTGGATTTCAGTACCAAGTCCTCTATTCAACAACTAAAGTCTAGCAGACAAAGAAAACCCTGGCTCAGTATCACTACTCAGATGAGTGAGGTCAAGCGTCACTATCAACTTCTGAAGTCTTCCCACTAAGCCGGTGCTTAGATGGACGTAAAGACAACACAAAGATCTTGAAACAAATTCAGACAATAACACTGAGACGTGAACGAACTGAACAGAAAAAGAGACAAATGAAAAGAAAGAAACAAAGAAAGAAACAGAAAAAGAAAGAGAGAAAGAAGAAAGAAAAGAAAAGAAAGAGACTAGAGGTTCACCAGTAGAAAATCAAAGAAAAAGTTTGCTCACTGTTGAGCACAGTGAGCTCAAGATATTTCACAGTTGTTGACGATGAGCTAAAGGTATTGCTGGATGTTGCTTACAATGACCTCTCAGTTAGTTGCTTAACAGCTCTTGTCACTGTTGTTGATACTGATCACACTTCACACTCAAATTTATTTTGTGGGGCTTAAAAGTTCCCTGTATGCATATTTTTATTGGCAAAAAGTGGGGTCTTATATAGATAAATTAGGGTGGCTGTGCTACTATTTCCCACGTTCTAAGGGAAATAGGCTTAGTCAGATTGTACCAATACTATTTACTGTAGTCATGTGCTTTATAATTTGTGTCATCAAGCTTTAGTCATCTCAAAAGGTTGCTTTGTCATGATTTGGTTTAGGATCATGGGTCACCTGACTGTTAGAGTCATATGACTTAGTATCATGTGACAAATATTAAGTAACAGACTGATTATGTTATTTGTTGGTGTTTTGTTATGATGTTACTTTATTGACCGTAGAAATGACACGAGCCGTGTATTTAGAGTGTTAAGAAAGTTCCCACAAGGCAACTTATGCAAGAACTATTTTACACTGTTACTTGACATGTGTGGGATTCAGTCTGAGTCATTGTTATTGCTGACTAAGCAGAATTTACCGCAAAATTAAATATACAAGAATATTCAGCCTATCTGAGTCTGTCTGAGAAATGAAAATACTATCTGAACTGCAGTCTGAACCATAAAGTAAAGGAAGATTGTTCATAATGATTTCTAGGGTATCAGGCTCATGGGAGAGCATTAGTCATCCATGCACCGAACCGCAGCTGTAAGCTCGAGAAAGTCATTGCAGGACTCATGTTTTGGTCGGATTCCACACACTTGGCACAGTTTGGGAATGCAGCGGCATGGCCGATTTACTTGTACTTTGGAAATCAGTCCAAATACGCTTGTGCCTGCCCTTCTTCTGGTGTGTGCCACACTGTGGGATTTATTCCTACTGTAGGTGAATATTTACTTCAAATACTAGTATTGTTATGCTGATGGTCATTGGCTTGTCCTTGGCAGCTTCCAGAATCTATCAAACAATTCATTGCGACAATTACTTCGGTTAAAAGGAAGAGCTACCACGACATTCTTGCCCACTGCAAGTGCGAGATGTTTCATGCTATCTGGCGTATTTTAATAGATGATGACTTTCTTGACGCATACAGAAACGGCATCGTCATCAAGTGTCACGATGGCGTATACCGCCAAGTATTCCCTAGGATATTTACCTACTCTGCAGATTACCCTGAAAAGTGCGTAGAGTGAATGCTTCTCACACGGTTTCTGCTAATGAGACCTTGAAGAGTTCTTATTGCAGCAATTCGTGACAAGGGTGTGTGTCCTTGTCCTCGATGTATGCTTCCAAAATCGCATTTTGGTCGGATTGGACTTCGGTCTGATATATCAGGAAGAGTTGCAAGAGTGCATAAATACATCAAAGATATCGTTATTGCCGCACGCAACGCCATCTACAAATTAGGCACCCCGATCAAGGGTGCCGCTGTCAAACGTCTTCTAAAAGATTCATCACTTGTGCCTACCATTGTAAGCATATCTCGGTTTTTATCCAACTTGGCCTTTATTTAACCTCACCCACAGAATGCCTTCACTGACCGTTTAGGTCCTCTTGGCTTTGATTGCTTTCCAATGCTCGTTGTCGACCTTTTACACGAATTTGAGCTGGGTGTATTCAAATCTGTTTTCAAACATCTCATCAGGCTACTCTACGCTATAAACTCTGAATGGATAGTTGTCCTGAATGAACGGTAAGACATCTGACTGCAGTGGAGGCTACAAGTTCTATCTAATGCGGATACCTCTTACCATAGCTTTCGCTCGATCCCTTCCTTTGGCAAGGGCACTATTCGGCGCTTTCCAACCAATGTATCTGATGTCCGGAAAAATGCTGTGAGGCACTTTGAAGATGTTTTACAGGTTAGTTTGACAGTCCTCGCGGTTTCCGACACTGACCTGCTTCTTTTTTTTTGGAATAGTGCGCAATCCCTGCCTTCAAAGGGTTGTTCCCTAGAGAGCATGATGATGTTATTCGGCTTCTCTTTTGACTGGCAGAGTGGCACACCCTTGCCAAACTTCAGCTTCACACCGACGATTCACTCGACAAACTCAATCAAGCACTGAATGCCTTAGGGAAGCAACTTCGGCGATTTCAGCAGTTTACATGTTCAGCCTTTCAAACTATGGAGCTTCCAAGTGAAGTTGCTGCACGTCAGAGGAGGCAAGACACTAATCTGCAGTCTACCAATCAAGAAGCGAAGGTTTCCAGCGCCCAAATTAAAATTTTCAATCTTCTAACCTATAAAATGCATGCGCTTGGTGATTACACAGCTTCAATCAGGTTGTTTGGTACGACAGATTCATATACCACCCAAATTGTACGTGTTTAATATCCAGCTACATTGTCTGTACTGACATTCTGCGTTTTACAGGGTGAGCTAGCTCATCGCTTCATCAAAATGCTGTATTGAAGTACAAACAAGCAAGACACTTCAAAGCAGCTGGCTAGGCAGGAATGAAGGCACACTCGCATCCGACGGCAACAGTCGTCAATAACCCTCCTTCAGGATGTACACACCAGTGATCTACCACCTGAAGCCCATCATTTTTTATCAGGCAATAAATGCAATAACCTGAATTTGGCCTCTTACCTTGGTGAACACAGGGACGATCCAGCTGTCAAAGTAAGACACATCAGCTGACTTACTGTTTCACTGCTAACAGTGCCCAAAGGACTTCATTCCGAAACTGAAGGATCACCTTCTCTCGCGGCTCCTAGGCTTGGACTATGACGGCGATGAGCGAGAATTCAGTAATGCCCAACGAGGTAACATACTGTTCATCAACAACCTCAGCAGAGTCTCCCAGGCCAAGCACCTTCAAATCAATTACACAACATATGATATTCGCCGCAACCAAGACACTTTGAAACCAGGGTGCGGTCGCACTGTAATGATGTTGTCGAGGGAACAAGGCACCAACCCTCATCCATTCTGGTATGCGCAAGTTTTGGGCGCCTTTTGCATACAGATACTCCACATTGGCCCGGAAGCTCGTAATCGCTCTCCGCAATCAATGGAGTTCTTGTGGGTTCAGTGGCTTGGTGTAGTTCCACATTACTGGTGGGGCTTCAAGGAAGGTCAGCTCCCGAAAGTTGGATTCATACCAGATTCACCCGGTGCATTCGGTTTCCTCGACCCTTCTCTTGTCCTCAGAGCTTGCCATCTTATACCAGCCTTTGCTGATGGTCACACGGATGAACTCCTGCAACATGGCCCCACAGTTGCATGACCATTTGGAGAAGTAACTGATTGGGCTGCATTCTATGTTAACATGTGAGTCCATTGACTCAGATGCAGTTTAAGACCTTCATAATTGACGATTCAAACACAGTTTTGCTGATCGCAACATGTTTGCTCGCTTTGCACGCATTGGTGTCGGTCATCAAATTCAGTATGTCTTGCCAATTGCAACTGATGATGAAGATTTTATCGGGCGCCTGAGCAATGATGACGAACCTTTGGATGAGGGTGATCTGGAACCTACGACAAGCAGCACCGTTGAGTCCCGCATTAATGAGCACCAGAATCGAGCTCAAGGGGAAATAACCGATGATGAAGAAGACAGTGGATCCGATGCATGGGATGATGAAGACGAGGATACATCAATGAGTGACGAGGATGATGAAGACGAGGATACATCCATGAGTGACGAGGATAATGAAGACGAGGATACATTCATGAGCGACTCGGATGATGAAGGGCCAGACTTCAAATTTTAGGATGAGATAAACTTTGTATTTTATGTACTTGCATTGAGCAACAACTATGGAGTGACCTTTTCGTTGTTACAGAACACTCCAGCTTGAAGCTGAAGCTTCGAAGTCCAAACTCAGGATCGTGGCGGTGCACTGCGTGTGACTGACGGTGAAGGTACAACAATTCAGATGGTGAGTCTGAACAATGTTGGGTCTTGCAGAACCTAGCTGCTATTCGACCCTAAAGGGTTTCTGGACCAGGCTCAAGGCTCAGAGGAGAGGAAATGTCATAAAAACTGCTCAAGACTCAGACTCATACTGGTAACTGGTGAAAAGATAACTTCATTATGTAAGCTACAAAGTGCCAACATAAGGTAAGGTAAAGACAGTCTCTACAAGCCTAGCCAGAAATGAATCCCTACAATGGTCACAGTGTGTACATAACCTGATACTCAAACTTACATCTATCTACTCGCAGCCCTCAATACCATCATGCTACTTATGCACGATTTCAAGCTTGAAAACTATAGTCACATCGGACATGGTTCAATTCGGCATTCCAGTCCTGCAGGTATGCATCTTATGAGTCTGCTCTCATAGTACATGCTCAACGTGGCATGGTATCTCCGTCAGCCATTGTTATGTTGAACATGGGAGGACCTTCAATGGTACATGATAATTCATCGTATCTGAGTTTCTCTCATACTATTTCATACCACTCTTTGACAGGTACCAGAGACCTATGACTTCCTCGGACTATCCATGGATGGCGACCTTATTCCATTGCCTTTTCAACGTATCACTCCTCTTATTGCTAAGTGGCGGATACCTCAAGTCGAGAAGCAGTACACTGACATTGGTGGTGGCTCTCCCATCCTTCAAGTATACAGAGATACAAGGAGCTGGTATGTGTGAACTACTGGACGAGCTGCACCCAGAGACTGCTCCACACAAACCTTATGAAAGGAGGAAGCGATTCTAGTCCCCATCATCTTCATGAGCGATCATATTGAGACACTTTACAAGCTGGATCTCGAGTATATGAAAGAGGGAAATGATGTACGTTGGATTATCAGTGAATGCCTTTGCCAGCTAACCCTTATTTTTTAACAGCTAGGGATAGAGTTGGATCAGGCAGAGTCATTGAATGGATCTCCTGTGTTTATCCATGCTGTTGGCAGATATTACAGTGCAGCATCTGCTGTGACTATTCTAGTACGAGGAAGATTAGGCTCACTGAGTGTGCAGATGGAGCCTCGGTGTCCAGGCTGTAAAATTGTGACTTGTAACAGTCAGTGAGGTTGTTGACTGCAGTTCATGGGAAAGCTGACGAAGTTCATTGTCGTTCAAATAAACTGATGAATTTGAGTGGTTTTCTGGTCATATATACCATAAGTCGACGCTATTCAATGATTAGCGATTAGATATATTCGTGTAGTCTCATTATAAACATGTGGTTTTTTGGCCTGTTCGGCTGGGGGCACGCTTCCAGAACCTGCAGCCTGCAACTCTCACTTTTAGAGTTCTGGTACTTCCAACTTGAAGTTCACCGCTGCCGGTTGACTCGTATATTGGCGTATGATACCTCTGGCTAAAAGCAGACGAGCTATAACATTCATAGTTTATGATCTCAATGTCTCTAAAGTTGCTGTCAAACTACGGTCACACTAGATTGCTATATAAAATCCTACTTTATCATACAATTTTGATGGAAAACTGCAGAAGTCGGAACACTAGCTTGGAACCCAATATGGGATTCTATTGATTTATCGGAAGAAAGCTGAAATAAAGAAGAGACTATAGATCAGTAATGTGATGGGCGATTTGGACAGTGGAGCGTAAAAATATGAATACTAGCTAGAGAGCTTATATGGGCTAATATGGGTTCATCAAAGAGCAAAGCATAAGACAAAATAGATCACAGATTAGGCACCTGATGTGCGTCTTACAAGCCACCACATAGACATATATTGGAAAAACTGATTCGCTCAACCTTATAAGGTAAATATGGTCATATCATGTTGGTTGGTTTTCAGTGATGATGTGACACCGTGACAATGTCGGCGTACGCGTGACATGTATAGGTCGAAGTTTGCAGACGAACGACTCACCAAGACAACAGGCAAGGAGGCCGCCGCTACCCAATGGCTCCGACGAAAACCAGCAAGGTCTCTTCGACTTCAAAATCTTCAATTCAAAAACACTCTGCGTCCGGTGTCGGAGCACCCTCCCAACTTGCTCAATCGAGCCGTAAAGGCAAGAAGGCATGGCGGAAAAACATCGACATACAGCCTGTGGAACAGGGTCTAGAGAGTCTGCGTTCAGAGGAGCGAGTCATCGGGTGTGGAAAATTTGTGTCTTGCATATGTCTACCATCTAATCGCGCGTATCAACTTGTGACAGCTCCACGCTACAAAAACAGACAGACAATCAATTGTTTGTTGTGGACACCAAAGGAGACGATAAAGGTAAGTTCTTGCAAGATATATCTAGGTAAAAAAATATAAAAGTGTTTAGTCCGCAAGTCGTTACCGCGGTACTCTAAGGCCGAGTTGACTTCCACCAAAATACTTTCTCAGCGATCTGCCATTCCTGCCGTGTTTTCTCGTCCGACAAAAGACTCTATACCATCACGATCAAAAGTCAGTAGGGCTGACAAGGAGCGCCTTCTTCGCATTGCAAAGCGGCCTAGAAAGGGTCCATTCAGTGCAGTTATGGACCACACAGAGTTCGGTGCAGGGAGTGCTGTAATCGATGTCAGTGCTGCTGTGAAACATAGCGGTTCTTATGACCCATGGGCAGCCGAGGAGGTGGAAGAAGTGGCTGATGGATTAGAGCATACAACAAAACCCAAAATCAAGGCAAGACTTTTCTTCTTTGCTACTAGCAATTTGCTGACGATAGTCGTAGCGCCCGGAGTTATCTCATCCTCGCGATGTCATAGAAATTCCTGCTGTGTTGGAGCCACATCAAGGATCATCATACAATCCTCCTGCCGCAGCACACAATGAGCTTATCATGGAGGCATGCAAGGTAGAGCGACGTAGACAAGATGAAGCGGATCGATTAGCAGAAGTCCGACGCAAGGTCGCTGATGCACGCGCAATTGCTACAAATGTTACGGAAGGCCTTCCAGTTGGAATGACTTTAGATGAGATACCCGCAGACGACGGCGAACCAGTCGCACAGCACGATGCGGTTGTACCCAAGAAACCATCGGCACGTAAAACTAAGCAGCAACGAGCAAAGGCGGTGCGATTGCGCGAGGAGGTAAGTCTTTCGTCGCTTTTTTATCATCGCCGCTGAGCTGGCACTAGAAACAAGCCTTGGCAGAAAAGGCAGCAAGAAAAAAAATGCTTGCCACTATCACAATGGCTAAATCTTTCCGTTCAACTGCGGAGAAAGTTAGCCAACAACAAAATCAAGCGCGATTGGCAAGGCAACTGGCACTGAAGATGAAGCTCAGAAAGGGCTTAGCTGGCCAACGGCTAGGGAAATATAAAGTTCCTGAAAATGAAATCGAGGTTCAGATTGGAGAGGATCTGAGTGAAAACCTACGAACGCTGAAGGTGTGTCGACTGCACCAGTTTTATCGACATCGCTGATAGCCTTCTGTCAGCCCGAGGGCAACTTATTCCGTGATCGCTTCCGTAGCATGCAGCAAAGAGCCCTCATTGAGCCTCGCGTACCCGTCCTGTGAGTATTCGTGATGTGTTTCAGCGCAATTTTTGACGTCCTTTGCCCTGTAGCCCAACTAGGCGGGCGAAGCTGAAAGAGTTTGAGAAGCACGCCTGGAAAAGATTTGAGTAGCTAGTATCATTCTTTCCTATGTTACCGACCTTTGAACTTCAAGTGTCACGGGACGCACTTGTGTCCAGCACATGTTGTACATCAGTCGCATCTCATGATACGGCACCCGTAACTTTTGCAGTAAGTTTGGCGAGATTTTGAAGTTCTGTGACAGGGCTCATTTCCCCTACCTATGTGGTGCGGCTCTTCGACTAGACGTGCATGTTTCTACGACGTGGCAAGTGATTCAGCACAATCAATTGGTTCAACGCCTCGGTCACATCAAAGATAGTGGCCAACACGCGTCACGACTCGCAGAGTGGACGGGTGCGTATGGGGTTCCTGGCTTCAACAAAAAGACGCATGGATGTTTATCTCTGAGCTCCGAGTCCTTCTCCATTGATAACAACACTTGGGCTGCTGAATCTTTGAAATATCGAAACATCACATGTTTAGCATAAGAATAGCGATGTTCAGGTGTTGCACATTGAAAATACTGGTTCAGTAGTGCGTCATGTCTCCAGACAGTGACTATGTAGCAAAGGCTTGATGAATAAACGAGCCGCTGAGGATCATCGATGGTACTAAAAAAAATGGACACTGTGGGAGTTGAACCCACGACCTTACGCATTCCCGATTTGCGAAGCGTACGCGCTACCAACTGTGCCAAGGGCCCGCGTGTGTTGATTAACACATGCATACGTCACTGGCTGAATTATTTCACCATAACAGAACGTGCAATTGGGACTCGACCACTTCGTTTCATATCCAAGTGTCTACGGATGGAAATTGATTATATTGAGAACGAAGTCTCCATACTGCAACCTCCCGCAGCACAGAGAAGACGAATCCGACCAGTGGACGATGCTCATCCTTTCGATCTAGATGCATACATCTCGGGATATTCTGGTATGATATCAAACACCCCTCTTGATGCACTAGCTTAGATCGACTCTCTAAGGTCGTACTGCGCTTGACAGGCTTGTGCACATTATCTCAACATGTCCGACTCTGGCACCACAAGCATTGAAGCTGTCGTTCGCGCAGATCGAGGAGCTTCGCGATCCAACCCTTTATCAGACCGTGATGAATGCATATGATGCTGTGGCGGACCTTCCAGAGGTGCAGCTCCCTCCGACTAGCGAGCTGTGTCCAGTAAACACGGTGTGGTGCGAAGAGGTTACGAAAAAGAATCAAGCGGAGAGAACGAAGCTAGAGGTCGAGTTGAAGACGTATTCTAACAACATGATTAAAGAGAGCATAAGGGTACGACCAGCATCTTAGTTTCTTCAGAGACTCTGAACATCATCTCCGTCAGATGGGCCACAGAGATCTCGGTGACTTCTACCGTGCCACTGGAGACTATACTCAAGCACTCAAACATTATACGAAATCAAGGGAGTTCTGCTCAACCAGCCAGCACGTTCTTGACATGTGTCTTTCTGTGCTAGAGGTAAATTTTAGTTCATTGGTATTATTGTCGGGTCATTCATTCCTCCTATAGCTTGTGATTGAACAACGCAATTATTCACACATATCTTCCTACGTCTTTAAGGCAGAGGGTGCACTTGATACGGCAAGCGCAGCAGCAGCATCCAACTCAACTGCCGGTCCTGCTGCCCCGCCACCTAAAAGGTCAGCGGAGCGTGACCAGGTACAATCCAAGTTGGACTTCGCGATGGCTTTGTTCCATTTAGGACAAGCCAACTACGAAAAAGCCGCTCAACTTTTTCTGAAGATCGGTCCTCCAGATTCTCTTGGCGATTGGATTGGCAAGGTAGGCGAGATTCGTTATCCAGCCAACTTTTGCTCATGCTCTTCTAGCTTGTCGCTCCTGGTGACTTTGCGGTGTATGGAACTCTATGCGCTCTTGCCAGCATGTCGCGATCTGCAATCAAGTCTCAACTTACAGGAAATGCCATTTTCTCTGCGTACATTGAGCAAGAACCATATGTTCGAGACTTGATCCAGTCATATCTCTCAAGCGATTTCAAAAACGTCCTGGAGCTTCTTGAACGGTACTCGGTATGCTTTATATATATATCAAAATCTATAACCCTGAGCTGTCTTTCTTGCACCAGACGCGCCATCACGTGGACATCCATATATACTCACATGTATATGATCTGACGAACCTCATTCGTAATGTTGCGGTCGTGCTTTACTTCCAGCCATTCCAGACCATTCGCCTCGACAGAATGAGCGCGGCATTCGGCTGGACCGTCGACGAGGTTGAGAAGGAGGTAGTTGCGCTCATTCAAAGCGGCCAGATTCAAGGTCGAGTTGATAGTCAGAACAAGGCCAGTGAGATTTGTGGGCATAACTATGGCAAGGATATCGCTGACACTATTAACAATACAGATCCTGAAAGCGAGGAAAGTAGATCATAGGGCCGAATTGTTTGCGCGTGCCATAAAGACGGCTGCTGAGATACAAAGTACCAACCGCAAGCTACTGTTGCGGATGCGTTTGTGAGTGTATATGGAATATATGCAGCTCGCACTCTAATTTGAGTTTGCAGGCAACAAGCAGACTTGGTGGTGAAGCCGCCAAAGTCGCGCCGCGAACAAGATCGTGCGACGGAACTTTTGCAAGGCGATTGACAGCTACAACATGATGAGGCTATTGTACTGTATTTTTACTGCATGGCCAACGTTGTATCATGATGATTTTTGATGTTTCATATAGCCAGCGAAGAGGTTCTGCGTAAGATTTGCCCTCCGTCGCTGGCATTCCATGGTTCAAAGGTGACCTCGCTCGGTACTTTTCAAGACTGCTCTTTTCTAAGATATCGTGAGGCTGAAGTGCTTTGGAAAGCTGAGCATCATGATGCTAGAGGATAGGTATATGGTTTCCGACTAAGCGAAAACCATCGAGAGGCAATTTCAGAAGAATAGCGAACCGAATAAAGGAAAGGGATTGAATAGCCTATTTGCAAAGCAGACTACTCTGCGACGGCTTGCCTCATGGACGGACTGGTCATAATCAGTCTAGTCGAACTGTGGCACAGCATCCATGCAATCCCCGCCATGTTTAAAAGTTTAGAGGACGATATATGCATTAGGGTACGGACGATAAGTCAGCGTGGTGTTATTAACCTATGTTAATAATCAAGTACTTGCGTAGGGTTATTAACTAGCATGTTATTAACATGTTATTAACTATCACGTGACCCAAAAATCGAAAATTTCGCTACAGGTACTACCAAATTTCGCTCCACTCGGTGTCCATGCCTTCTAGGTCAGCATCATCCTCCGCAGAATTGTCTTGAGCACTACCAAAGCCGTTGATAAGACTGTCCATGCGTTCATTAAACAAGGCCTTTGGTAATCATTGTGTCAAACGGGTACTGTCCTTTCACATAGCGCTCGAACTGGTGCACGAAAGCTTCACGAACATCGGCAGCTGTTTTTCCTTTGAGAGCGGGGTTGTGTTGGGACTTGAACTCGGCTTCAATCACAATCTTGAGGTACTTGAGAACTCGGACGTAAGTTGGCGATGTGAGGATATCGGGCACAGCTGTTGAAGGAATGCGAGGGATCTTGATTTTGAGAGAGAGCGGGTTATGCTGCTATGCAGGATTGCACCGCGAACATAACCTGTCTCATGTGCGATAAGAATAAGCATTCATCAAAGGTGAAGAGTGAGTAAACATACGTGGATCTAAGCATAAAGCTGCGAGATAGCAGTCGGCTGGTCCGTCTTCGAGCTGTTCACGAAAGTGATCTGCGAGGAACAGCGGAAGATTAGAAATTTAGAATGCGACCCACCAAGACCATGGGGGTCGACAGACTTATTAGCACCATGTCACCACCCCATGGCCGTGTGCCTGTTAATAACACACCTTTTTTAGCAGTGTTATTAACAACCGACTTTTCGTCCGTACCCTAATATGCATTGATGCCATCGATTGACAATGATGGTGAAGAGGAGAATATGTCTATGGCAGAACGTTTAGAAGACTCAGAAGAGAGCATACGTGAGGTGTATAGTGCGCACAGACCAACGGCCTGTTGATTCAATTTAAAAAATCGATTATGTAAATAATATTGCGAAGACTGTATTAGGTCATTCACTGATCGCGATGGCATAGTCACCTATAGCTTACAGTACTTGTTTCATGACTGAGTAACTTGAAACGTAGTATTTGGTTATCATATCCGAAGCAATATTATGCCTTAGGCCTTATCTTCGAATCGCATCTGTCGCATAACGAGTTAACTACGTAGTATGAGCATCTCGCTGAGCTAACTATATAGGGTTACCTCGCCGACTCGGAGGCATTAAATAAGTCTAGACCGCAACACCAACTATATAAAGTGGTCCCCTCAGCCCTGTTCTTCACATTCATCCACCATCATGGACGAATCGTTTGAACCACCAAAGCTGTTCCCAGTTAGTGCCAGTCAATCTATACAGCCCTTCAAGCAGAAGATAGACAAGGGGAAAGGAGTCGGTTAGTAGTGGACTCCACATACAAGAAAGCTATCGTTCATAATCTGCACAGATCGTGGCGATAGAAGTTTTGGTTTTGCCCAGGGCTCATATTCCCGTGCATCTACACCATCGATCATGATCGACGAGATGGACGATGATGATGAGCCCTTGACATCACAAGCACCCCCAGCGTTGAAAGGTGATGCAGATGCGGCAGACTCTATCTGCATGTCTGAGGATTCGGACGACTTCTATCATTCAGTAAGATCAGGTGATGCAGAAGACTTAGTAGGTCCACTTCCTTTAAGCTTGCGGTCATCATGATGTGGGCTGGAGTTCTTACGTTCTCATTCAGATGGACGTAGAAGATTCCTCTCCGCATAATGATGCTCGTGACCTTGCCCAGTCAATTAATGGGATGTATCGGGTGCTGGATTTGATTAATGAAGAAGGCAGTGGTGGGCTAGGTATCTTCATCATCCTTGACAAGCCTTGCCTTCGTTGACTTTCAATTTGTTTTAGTGGACAAAGTTATCATAGCGCAAGATTCACTCCGCGCATTCATCAATAGTGTTTGCCCAGGCACATATGTGTCCATGACGAAAGTAAACTTCAGCGCTTTAGACCGCTTCATCGTGAAGCCTGTTGGCGTGTACGGAAGTAAGAGTGAAATTGTACGACTGTTGTCGTCTCTGGGTGTCGTCGATGAAGAAATGTGAGATCGGTACCAGTATTCAGATTGACACCTTGATAAACTTTATCCTTTAGCGCAAAACAACTCATCACGAACCAAAGTGACTCCAACGTTTCAATGCCGAGTCTTCGTTCTGGGCTGTACATAGTCCGTGCAGTTTGCGAGGCTACACCTGACCAACAGCTTTTCCTCATCTACTGGCCGGAGGATTCGACATGGGATGACTCAGCTCCTTCGTCTGTGAGACGCAACCGCGTGGCCTTCATGAGGTCCGTCGAGTCTTTCTTGGTTTAGGCACTTGCTCCTAACAAAAACAGATACCTCATGAAAATGTGTGATCAAGTCACAGCACTCATTTCCCCAGAGCATGCTCGATCTATCGTATGGAATTCCCAGGAAGGCGAAGACACCGTCATGGATCTGGACGAAGATCACGATGAGTCCAGTAGGCTGTTCACTTTTGAAGTCGCGAAAACAAATGAGCAGGAAGAGGCGGTAAAGCCGCGCCCGGGATTCAAGGTTAGTCCAGTTTATCGATATGAGTGGTTGAGTGCTTAGAGCCACCTCTATAGGCTATGTCCAAGCATATAGCCATGCCCCAGCCTCACCCAGAGGCACCGGTGGACGTCAAAGTGCTTAAGCCTGAGTTGTTGCATGGTGAAACGACTCAAGGGTTCATGACCGTCACATTTCAACCGGGCAGGCTCAATGCCGAATCCATGAAAAATCAATCGTTAACTAGCATCCAGTTAAGCAATTACCTGTGGGTATTACACTAAGCAGCTCGACTTTGGCCGTCAATTGACGCTTCCATAGAAAGAATGATGCCTTACTGATCAGCAAGGACCTTGATCCAGAGGCCCTGAGCATTCTGCTATACAGTGGCATCCAGGATCGTTTCCGACAACAGTGTGAACAGTTTTGGAAGCAATCCGCGACTATCTTATCGAATACTAGGTCCAACAAGGAGTCAGAGACAATGAGGGTTAGAAAGGACTTGATGAGGGGGGAGCCTTCTCTGACTAAGGTCTTTCATCAGGCCTTAGTCGATGCTATCATCGAGAAATTTCCGTGCGTTTTTAGCTCGCACACTTTATCTACGTCTGATCGAGCTCTAGTATCTTCACTCACGAATCTTTCCCATGTCCTACAGAGCGCGAGCAGGGCGGCACGTCGACTCTAGGTGGGTCCTCCGTGTAATCAATCTGTCTTGCAATAATACCGTTTACAGATTCAGGTGTGGCTGATGTTCCAATTGGTACCGACTCTTCGTGAGTTATACACAACAGGTCCTCGTGTAACACTAATATCTTTCAAGTACCTCCGCTGTCAATCCCTCTCCGGATCCCACCGGACAGGAACAGGAACGTCATTCAGTGCGAAGTATGTCATGTTTGCGATGCTCTACATCTTATTAATTAGTTGTGCAGATGACCTTAACACTCTCATTGCCTTATATCCGGACATAGGTGAAGAGCTTCGTCGCAAGGAGCATTCGGGTAAAATCAACACACGAAATTTCAAGGACTGCAAAGAACGGATCTGCATTGCCCGGAATGTCCTTGGTAACTCTGCTGACATGCCGGAGGAATCCCGTGAAAGTTTCATCAATATCATTCTCCGCGAGGACATGTCACACGTTAAGGAAACCTTGAAATCGATCAGCAAAGGAAACGTTCCGCATGAGAAGCCCAGAGGAATAGTATCTACTGTCTGGAGTAAATTCACTTCGATCATCTCACCTGACCTGGATTTGCATATCTTCGGTAAGACGTTAAAGGAGGCAGACGCCGATTCTATCAGCGACGCTCAGTTCCTCACGGAGTTGGATAATACCGAAATACCCCCTATCTTGGGAAAAATCGTAGAAGACACTAGGGCAGCGGCTCTGGATCACTTTAGATCAAACTTGACGAAGCAGACCCGATTTTTAGTGCATTTTGCGCTGCGCATACAAACCGAACAATGCTCACTTCAGGTTCAGAGAGAAGCTGCCAGCCATGAAGAGGAGCAACTTACTGAGTTGCGGAGGACGTTCATCCATGAAATCAACAATCTTTCGCAAACAGGGTATCATGCGTTAGTGGTTCCGTACTTATTTTACTTCACCTTCATCTCCAGTCCATAGGTACACCTTCGTTATCGATTACGCGGAGAAGACACGAAAATATTACTCATGTAAGTCCAGTTATTCTCGTGTATACGAATTCTGACGAAATTATCGATAACAGCGGATATATTCATCTCTGGCCAAAGGGAATATTTCCAGGATCCTGTCTGTGAATTCTCCGTCCATCTCATGCAGCTGATGGAACATGATCAACACTCATTAAAAATGGACCCTACCATGATTCCCTCGCCGAAGTTCATTGGTAGGCACGTGTACTCTTTCAGATTACCTCTCGGAGATTCAGTCGCGTCAGTGTTTTTGACATTGTAGTGTATCAATGAATTAACGCTGTTGACTTAGGAGAGCGCAACTTCTTTCAGGTGATAAGATCTTACTCGCAACGACTGATCGGTATGGGAACCTAATGGTGTTCCTGGAAAGCCTCCACGCGATCGAAGGCGCCTTGGCTCAGAGCCGCGGAAAAAAGCTGAATCGCGATAAAATCGGCGAATTTATTCTCGCATTTGACGAGTCGAAACGATTGCTCAGTGTTGTCGCTAGAGAGAAGGTTAGTTTCACAAGTAATCTTCTGGGCAGGTCTAACGAACGTGACACCAGCTTTTGTTGCACATCTTTGTTCATGACAACACCCGTGGTTTCCAGGCTTCTGGCAGCGCGATTAACTTGACTCAGTGGTATGGCGAAGGAGTCTCAATCATTCATGCGTGCTTCATCTGTGGTAGCGAAGAGCTACTGCTCGTCGATTCATTGGCACAAGCCAGAATATACTCCTTGACAACGATGCAATTTAGGTAGGAGCTTAACTTACAGTACATGATGACTGCTAATATGCGTATGACAGACCCGCAACACTCAATCTCATTCAGATACCTAAGGCAGTCTACTCCACTCCAGATGGTTCTTGTTTGATCGCCGCTCACGTGTGTGGCTCTGAATTGACCTTGACTGCCTATCACTGGAGTACCTTTGGCTCGACAGATGGCGTCCCGCTCGAAATTCCAGATCTTCCCTTGGATCAACCGTTGCTATTGACTTCTTTAATAAAAAGGAGCATCGTTCATCTGATTACGCTTGACATCGACTCAAATTCTTGTCGATCATTCGCTCTCGACATCACTCGCAGGGTGACGGAGTTTACCTTTAAAGAGAAGGGCGGACGAGGAGGAGTTTCTCAGTCCGAGAACGCCACTGCACACAACTGTCTCATTGATTGTCACGCTGACGTGTGGACTCGTTTCCCTGTTCTCCCTGCCGTTCAGCGGGAGACCATTACATCGTCCAGTAACAGATGTCCGCGAACATTGGTGTTCATTACAAATCGGGACCATCATATGTTCTCACCGCACTTCCACGACCTTATCTACAACTTTGAAAGGACGTCAAAGAAGCCAACGGGAACTATCCTAAAATCAATGACCATCTCTGCCACTACATATTCCGGTCTGTCCAATAGTCTCCTTGGAGCTGCAGAATGGAGCGTGTCGAAGTTCAGAGCCGGGGAATGGTTGGTGGACATCCTCTGCCTCATTCCAATTCACATCGCAGTGACGAGGGAGAATCGTTTCATTCCACTCAAGGATGGTGTATATTCAACCGAACTTGAGAAGTCCCTCCTCGGCGCAGATGTTAACTGCATTGTCAATCACCTGTCTTTTGGTTGGTATGAATCTTTGTTCCAGTCATACATGGCGAAAAAGGTATGATATATGAACGCCTCGAGTCGAGCGACACTAACTTTATCCGGTGCCATCTTCAAGCCGGTCAAAGTTGTGTCGTCCATGGGCGAACAATCGGTGGGGAAGAGCTTTGCCTTGAACCATCTTGTGGATACGTCATTCGCGGGATCGGCCATGCGTACGACAGAAGGGGTCTGGATGTCAGTAACGCCGACTAAAGACGCTCTTATTGTTGCTTTGGATTTTGAAGGTATGTCGGACCAACCATCAGTGGACGTTTCATATTGATTCATATTGATATCTTTCCATAATAGGTGTTCATAGTATTGAGCGTTCTGCTCAAGAAGATACATTGCTCGTGCTATTCAATACTGCGATCTCTAACTTGGTTTGCTGCCCATTGTGTGTTTCTCATGGTTGCCTGATGTCGTTTATGTAGGTGCTATTCCGGAACAACTTCGCCTTGAGCCGAGACATCACAGGCTTATTCCAGTCGTTCCAATCAAGCTCGACAGTCCTCGACCCAGCATCCAACCCGAGTCTATTTCAATCAACGTTGGTGATCATAATTAAAGTACTTTCCCATTTCTTGAAATTTATTTTTCATGTGTTTTGACATATCGACTTCTAGGATGTCGTGGATTCGGACAAAGCAGAAATTACTCGAGAGTACGCTCCAGACAGTGTCCCCATGAATACATACTCAAATCGTCACTCAGGTTCGCCCTCAAGTTTCAGCAGATAGTTCAAGATGAACAAGAGGCCAACTTCATTTCTCGTCTCCACGCTGGGCAGTTGAATATCATCCCTTGGTATGTGAGATGTCTCCCATGGTCTCATTTGTTGATTGTTCCATGCAGGCCGGTAATTGAGTCGCAGGAATTCTATAAGCTGTTCCCAACTCTCAAACGTCGACTGGACAAACAAAAATTGACGCATCATACAGCAGGAGAATTCCTTCATGTTATGAAGACCTTGATGGCGAAACTGAAGGTATGATTCACTTGTCGTACATTTTGAGACCAGTCATCAGAACTCGTGCAGGCAAATGATTGGGGTGCTCTGTCACGTGCGTACTCTTAAAGAATCCATAGTTCAGTTGATCAACAACACACCGCAGAATCGATGGCCTCGCATCGAGCACAACTTCTATTAGCCATGTTGCCGAATGCGTTGGCATTTGGACTGCAAGAAGTTAATCCCGACCCGGAACCTCTCAAGGTACAGAACGCTTCTGCTGCCTTTTATTGTAATCGCGTTTAACCTGGCGTTATGAAGAACCTGGATGACGATGTCCCGATCGGGATGCCCGATACTCTGGCTGAATTTTCATTGGCAGGGGGGGGTGCAATCTCCTTCTCGCGAGACCGCTCTCCAAGTTTTGTCTCATGCATGGGAAGACTATGGTTCTCGCCATCACGTGCCGGAGGATCTTTGGATCGAGAATTTGATTGCTCACATCGACAGTCTGGTCAATTTGCGCGTCGCCCATGTCCGCGAGTGGATATCGTCAAACGTCGCTCGCTTCCAAAACGGGCAGGCAAGCATCGACGAGCTGATGAGAACGTTTGAAAGCGCGACAGTAGACCTGAAGAGCAACTTGCAGTTGTGCAAGATGAAGTGTGGAAGTTGCGAGCTGCTCTGCATTCAGAGCAGATTGCATGACGGACAACATGACTGTCAGACGTCTCATGAATGTATACATTCTTGCGATTTTTGTGCGTCATCGGGAGAGGCAAAGGCTTGCACCATGTCGTAAGTCATTGATCTTTTCTCTGGGCCAGTAAACTGAAGCATCTCAGAGCGGGGCATCCGGGCAACCATATGTTAAGCCTTTCATGATCGTATCCGCGCACGAGCTCATCACCCCTTCTAGATGTGTTGTAAATACGCATCTTTGTGGTCAAGCCTGCAAATTTTCCGGGAGACAGGGATGTTTGGATGAGTGTACAAAGGTGAGATGGATCCTCTTTATTGTTGGGTAAAAGGTCGTTGAACTTGTCTTTTAGGTGATCGGTCATGCAGAAGACGACCATCTGTGTGCTGCTATTGTGCATGCCTGCGGTCAGGTATGTTTGACCCTAGAACAGCCTTTTCACGTGCTTAAATGGCCCTCTAGCCCTGCGATCTGTCGAAGCTCAGGTTGGATGACGGAGCCACTCTCCCTTGTCGCGGTACTTGTGGCATTGCAAGGCAAGTCATTAAATGAACGCTCCGCACCACCTACCGACACCTAATTTACCGCAGTGACGTGGATCATGACCAACACCTGTGCGATGCTCGACTTTGCTCTTTCCCTTGCCAACTTTGCAAGAGACTCTGTGCAAATACAGACCATCTTCACGGTTTGGAAGACGGCGCTATCCATCTTTGCGGGTTCGTCCACAATCATCCAGGTATCTTGATAATTGAACTTCAAATAGGGAGGAGCATTCGTGTTCCGTGCAATGCACTGCCGAGGGCATCTGCGAGATTGAGACTGCGCCACAATCGATCGAAGCGACGTTCACCGGAAGGCACGAGACGTTTCAGTACACGAAGGTGGCGTGCTGTTTTGGTCTTGGGTATTATTTTCTGACTTGACGTCCGATCTTGGTTCGCAGTACTCACAAGGTGTGTATCGGGTTGGTTACCTATGATATCACTAATTCACTCTCAACAGTGGCTAAACGACTGAGATGTGCCAAGTCGATACCACCAGGCCAGGTAGCCCATACAGGTCGGCACAACCATAGTTTGGACCAAAGAGTGGTGCATTTCTGCAGAGCGAAGTTGAAACTTTCTTCCATTTTTGCGGTCTTTCCTCATTCTTCTCGTCTTTTCAGGTGTGATCACTGTGGCTACTATTGTACATTGCCACTCGGTAGGTACATTCAGTGCACCTCAGCAGTCACGTCTCACGGACCATTACATCAGGTCATCCGCAGCAAGAGCATGAAACGAGACACGGATCCATGTCCTCGTCACGATGGGCAGTCGATGGCCCAGATGATGCGGGTCTCGAGGTCGAAGGCCGTCGCTTCTCGTCAAATGATGAGGGTGCACCGATGATGTGCAACCTCGTCTGTCAGGCGGTGGGCAGACACATCCACATTGACTACTGTCGCGCCTCGGATGCTGCCGCTTGCACAGGGAATAACGAGGTTCACTATCTCTAAGAGAATACTGCCTAACCCGGAACGTGCCAAGGACTACATGAGCACAATCTCTTCTGGCGGCGGGCCGGTGAGTAATTTTATGATTATCATCCTGGGCTGTGATACATGGTCCGCAGGCTTCAAAGACCCCTATTCTCGGGAGGAGCAAGCAAATTTCGCCAAGTGGTGCGTATTGAATACTCAAAGTGTGGTAACATGACTGAATTCATATTCTTGTTAGTGACTCAATGTGTAGCGGTATGGTTCATTTGTGCTTGTCCTGTTGGCGATTTACTATTTTGCCAGGCCCGAGCACACTGCTGCAGCCGGAAATGCTGCTCAGCCATCCTATTGCTCCTTACCTTGTTTCACCCACGGATGGATCCTAACAATGCCCAAGTCGGTTTAGGATACGTTTCCAATGACGGACATCTCTTCTCATGCAGGAATCCCGTGATTAGCAGCAAGCATTCCATGTGTGAGTGATCGACTAAGGTCTAGTTGCAGT